TGTCAGGGAGCAAGTAACTACCTGACTCTGAAAATTACATGTAATCGCAAGATGGCATATTTATCTACCTGTACATGTTTTGTGGACATTCGTAAAGCCTTCGACTCTATGGTGGAAACTGTAACAGTTTGGATTACATGGAAATACCTTGACAGCGATTCAGTCTTCATGTCAGGATGTTAAATGTCGCGTTAAGGTGAATACAGAGAAATCACAGTGGTTTGATATCACTGTAGGCGTCAAGCAGGGATGCTGTTTATCGCCAACCCTGTTTTCTATGTACATTAATGACTTGGCTGATAACTTAAGTGACCTTCAATGTGGTATAGGTATTGATTCATTCAATATCTCACTCCTTTACGCCGATGTCATTGTTCTCATTGCACCGGGCGAAGAGAATCGACGAAAAGTACTTGACAATCTTCATGAATGGTCTGATAAGTGGATGTTAACAGTGAACAAAGATAGAACCACAGTACAGCATTGAGACCAGTATACATTCCTGGAGGACATTTCCAGTTTCAACGTGGCAACGTAAGTACTGATTTGTACAGAATATAAATATCTTGGCATGTGGTTGAACGAACACTGTGACTTTAAGAAAACCGTTAAAGAAATATCTAAAGCAGCTGATAGAGCGCTAGGAGTCAATATGAGGATGTTCAACAACCTCGGCGGCATAAGGCATTCAATTTTTACTCAAAACTATGTACAACCTGTTCTCAGTTACAGTGCTTGTGTGTGGGGCATCACTATGTACAACACAACTATATACAGAACAAAGCATCAAGATTCTCTTTGGGGGTACATCGCTGTAAGAGGCTAGATGAGCTAGCGATGTCAAGACACAAAGGTAAAGATTGAAGTTTTGAGAAGTTTTCATAAAATCATAGCTACAGATGACAACTCACTATGTGCTGTAGTCCAGAAATGGTCATATATTAGACACTCTTTGTGGGATTACAAAGTGTGTGAATTTGTGAAAAGTGTAATATTCAAGGTAATTGTGATCCTTTAGAGTATTGTGTAAGCGTGAACCGTGTCTTGAAGCATTGGATACTAAGAACAAGGAACAGTGATACTCTGAATTCTTCAACGACAAAGACGACCAAACAGGAAATGCATTCAGAACTTATAGGACTTATGAACAGGATAGTTAAACGTCTCACAATTTAAAATGTCTCTCCCCAGACAACGCAGAAGCATCAGTATTATGCTTAGCTTCACTATACTGTGGAGGAAACCTTCCCTTAAGTAAAGGAAGGAGCAGATATACAAGTATGTGACCCCCTTGGAATACAGATATCCGGAAACCTCGGTTCCCGGACGATTTTCATTCAAAACGAAATAATTACTATATAAATTTAACCGTATATACGGTAATTCAGTTTCCGGAACCGGACGGTCATTTTCATACACAAAACACTGAAATGCACACAAAATTGTCTCACTTACCCGGACAATACACTTCCGCTGGTGGTAATCCAAATGTATAAAAGTTATTTCTTACAGCTCGTCCACAACCATTTGTGTGTAATCATTTAAATCGTGTGGAGTTGAGGTGTGTGTGTGTGTGTGTGTGTGTGTGTGTGTGTGTGTGTGTGTGTGTGTGTGTGTGTGTGTGTGTGTGTGTGTGTGGTCGCAGAGCGGTATTCTATACATATGATAAAGAGTTACTCAAACCTATTAGTCGACAGTATATATTTTTGAACTCTGTGGTGACTTTTAGCTATAGATTCATCACCGTAGAGACTATTTTGTATTGTACATGTACATCCAGCTGTTATAATGTTAGCGAACAAGATATTTCTGGGAATAGTGTAATTAGGACGATCAAGAAAGAAGTGTATATTGTTTTCCCATTGATTCCCACAAGAGCAGGCCAAAGTATCCGACAAATTTACTTTGAAAATATCTGCATTTAGGAACTTTAAGAGTGTCTTATACGCGTATATAAAATCTTCGGAGGTGGAGCTGCAGTTTTTGTTTTAATCATCTGTTTAAAATTTGACAATGATGTTGCACTTGTGTATTCAGGGGGTAACTCATTCCATAGTTTGATTGAAGAAGGTATGAATGAATGCTGGTATGTAGCATGCGGCATATTGATATTGTTCTCATTTCGTAACTCATATCTACTAATGGTTGATACTTTGGGTGTAAATGTAAAATACGATGGACAGAAAGTATTAACAATATTGTAATCTGACAAAAGAAAGCATATATGTTTCTATGGAACTGATCTAGAATTTGCTGTCGAGTATAAGTATTTTGGGTTTTATTTCCAGAAAAAAACAATATCACAAAGTCATTAAAAGGCCTATGTGATCAAGCTACCAAAGCCATGTTCTACATTAATCACGCATACATAGCCTTTCACTTCAACGTCAACTTTATCTATGATACAATGGTAAAACCTATTCTCTTGTGGATGTGAAGTTTGGAGTTTTGAAAATATAAAAGATGATTAGAAAAAAGTCCATTTATACATTTTCTAAGAACCCTGATCCTAGTTAAAAAATAAACCCCGCTTAATGTTTTATGGCGAGCTTGGTAGAACTTCCCTTCTTATAGATATTAAAACTTTGGTCGAATGTTTTGTCTGCAAAATGCAGTAAACTGTCTCATATTTAATAAATGTTCATGTATAAAGATACAATTACCAATAGTAGAATGTACAAAGGCCCATGTTTGTTCAAACTATCTTAGATCAAACTGGCCTGAGCTATGTTTGGTTGACACAGAGTTTCGTATCATCCTCCTGGTTAAAAGTAACCCTTTAACAACATAATATAAATTGGCAAACTTGGAACGCGGGTATTGCAAATTCATCTAAATGTTCAACATATCCAATCTTAAAAATTGACAATAAGCTTGAATCGTATTTGATAAATATTCCTTTTCTTTTAGCCCTAAAATTAATTACTCTTCTATCGAACATCAGTCACCCCTTGCCATCTGAACCAGAAGGAAGGAATAACACATCAGTAAGTGATCATGTTTGTAAAGTGTGAGGTATGAAAGATGTTGGTGATTAATACCATTTTATTTTTAAATGTAATATTTTAACGATGCTCGTAACTTGTATATCCCATGTAAATATGGGAACCAACCAAATATGCTAAAGTTCATAAAATTGTTTAACTCCTCAAAAGTGTCTGTCCAGAAGAAACTTTGTAGACATACTGACATCATGGTGAAAGCTGTTAAAGCTCCGGGCTGATCCTCTGTTCACCTCACTATGTTGTCTCTGTTTGCACTTCATGTGACGAGGTCCTCGGCCTGAATGAAATAAACGTTTGTTCTGATTTGGAGACTGACAGAGAGTTACCAAACTATAAAGGATGTAAGTAAGTTTGTGTCTCTTGGCGAGGAGGAACAGTAACGTTTGTCATGGCATCAACTTCATCTGGATCAAATGACTTGTTTTGTTTGGTGTGTAAAGCCGCACTCGGAAAAGTTCCCGTTAATGAAGGTTAGACAGTGAACGTCAGGGAGCTGTGCGTTATGGCTTCCTGATTTTGCCGCTTAAGTTTGTCCCCTTTACGACGCCATTGGTGATCTACAGGGTATCAGTGAGTATAGTGTCAGTGTGGCTGTATTGGTTAGGAATAGGTAAAGAGTGAGTGAGGGGATGTTGCAGTCAGTAATACTCCAGCTACATCACCGCGGCTTGTACATACTGGAGATTGAGCAAAGCAATGGATGACAGTAGGTTAGTGTACACGTACCTGAGGGATGTGTGTTAAAGTGTTTCATATGACGTCTTTGGCGTGTGAATGTGTTTCATCTGAAGAGGGTGATGTGTGTCTGTGTGAAAGTGTTTCATGTGAAGCCGTTGGTGTGTGTCTGTGTGAAAGTGTTTCATATGAAGAGGTTGATGTGTGTCTGTGTGAAAAGTGTTTCATGTGAAGTCGTTGGTATGTGTCTGTGTGAATGTGTTTCATATGAAGAGGTTGGTGTGTGTCTATGTGAATGTGTTTCATATGAAGAGGTTGATGTGTGTCTGTGTCAATGTGTTTCATATGAGGCCGTTGGCGTGTGTCTGTGTGAATGTGTTTCATATGAAGTCGTTGGCGTGTGTCCGTGTGAATGTGTTTCATATGAAGAGGTTGATGTGTGTCTGTGTGAATGTGTTTCATATAAAGTGGTTGGTGTGTGTCTGTGTGAAAGTGTTTCATATAAAGGACCCGTGAGGGTCCGGGGTAGAATAGGTCTACAGCAACCCATGCTTGCCGTAAAAGGCGACTATGCTTGTCGTATGAGGAGACTAACGGGATCGGGTGGCCAGGCTCGTTGACTTGGTTGATGCATGTCATCGACCCTAATTGCTTGGATCGATGCTCATGATATTAATCACTGGATTGTTCGGTCCAGACTCGATTATTTAGAGACCGCCGTCATATAGCTGGAATATTGCTGAGGGCGGCGTTAAACAAAAACCAACCAACCAAATCATATGAAGAAGTTAATGTATGTCTGTGTGAATGTGTTTCATATGAAGAGGTTGATGTGTGTCTGTGTCAAAAGTGTTTCATAGGAAGTCGTTGGTCTGTGTCTGTGTGAATGTGTTTCATATGAAGAGGTTGATGTGTGTCTGTGTGAATGTGTTTCATACAGAGAGGTTGGTGTGTGTGTAAAAGTATGACGTATGAACAGGGTGGTGTGTGTAAAAGTGTGTCATATAAACAGGGTGGTGTGTGTGTGTAAAAGTGTGTCATAGGAAGAGGATGGTGTGTGTCTTTGAAGGAGCGTCACAAATAGAGACAACTTCATGTCAGCGTGACAGTGTATGTATGTAGCACATATATGGAAGTGTGTGCCAGCATATAAACCGGTGCTTAAAATGCCAGTAACATATTAAATTTATGTTAACAGTGAAATTAACGTGTTATCTGATATATGTGGGTTGGAGAATATCTTTGTTCCCTGTGCACCATACGTTACAGTCTGACAGATATCTTGACCCCACTTTCTGATCCCCACACAAATTAGATGTAACACAAGCTGTCCGACGCATCTCACTGTGCCAGTTTTTGAACACCGGCGGCCGTCATTCAGATGTGTCTGTCACGTGATGCCGGAGTGATGTCTGCTTCAAGGAACCCGACTTCCATTTTTACTTAAACTCCATCAGGTGAGTTCGTATCTCATATCTCGCATTTTGAGCGTCAAATACTGTCAATTCATCATCGAAAGATTTTGTCTATGATGTACACTGTAAACATTATTTTTCAAGACATACCATTCAACACATATCAATGCATATAAGAGCGCCTCCGTGGTCTAGTGGTAGAGCGTCCGCCCGGAGACCAAAAGACGTTAAAAAATGGTACGTGTTGCTACCATCGGCTCGGCATTAATGGGCTAAAACAAGGACTGGTCGGCTCGGAGTCGTATACTGTGTGTGAGTGGGGTATTCATGTTAAAGTGCGGCATGGTATCTCAGTGGGCTAGCACTATAAATCGGCATCAGCCCGGACTAGTACAAGCAGCCACACACAAACGTACGCACATGTGCATGCACGTCGCCATATAAGTGCAATAATCTTGGACGCGACGTTAAACCCCATTTCGCCTCACCTCAGTGCATATAACTGATATTGACACCTGGGGTATACAATATGATGGGTATCAGCACATATATCTAGGGGTTTGAACCATGCTTATAATCTGTATTTGATGAAATATTAGAGATAATGGTAACATGTAACTCGTGTACAATTAGGTTCTAATACTCGTAGAACGTCCAATGGCTTACGAAACACCTTCATTTCCATGTTATGTTGTATCACTATACATGTTAATATACGTTCTGCCGTGTGTTGCTTTTTGCAATTGTCCTAGATTGTGCCCTGTTCTTGAAAGCAGGATCTATCCATTAAAGAAAGATATTATTACATCTTAAGAAATATTTTTCTAAAATATTCACGTATCCTCTTTGATGTGTTGACGCCAGTCTGCTGTAAGCTGTAGGACAACACGCCAAGCCACTGAAGTGATATTCAAAATGTCACTAAAAACTCCACGTGTGCTTCCAAGCGAAATATCCTTGCAACGAATACTCAGAAATATTTCATAAACCGACGGGCAAAATAAGTAAACATTTGAAAATTGGATTTGACAAAAACATTACTAACGGAGGTCTTTGAAAGGCATTTAGAAGTGCTACTCATAAGGAAGAGAATTTATGGATGTCAACTTCTTTATTATGAGGAACACAACGTTTCGGAGTATATGCTTACTCCTTCATTAAGTTCACCTGTATATGCTTACACCTTCATTAGGTTCACCTGTATATGCTTACTCCTTCATTAGGTTCACCTGTATATGCTTACTCCTTCATTAGGTTCACCTGTATATGCTTACTCCTTCATTAGGTTCACCTGTATATGCTTACTCCTTCATTAGGTTCACCTGTATATGCTTACTCCTTCATTAGGTTCACCTGTATGTGCTTACTCCTTCATTAGGTTCACCTGTATGTGCTTACTCCTTCATTAGGTTCACCTGTATATGCTTACACCTTCATTAGGTTCACCTGTATATGCTTACTCCTTCATTAGGTTCACCTGTATATGCTTACTCCTTCATTAGGTTCACCTGTATATGCTTACTCCTTCATTAGGTTCACCTGTATGTGCTTACTCCTTCATTAGGTTCACCTGTATATGCTTACTCCTTCATTAGGTTCACCTGTATATGCTTACTCCTTCATTAGGTTCACCTGTATATGCTTACACCTTCATTAGGTTCACCTGTATATGCTTACACCTTCATTAGGTTCACCTGTATATGATAACTCCTTCATTAGGTTCACCTGTATATGCTTACTCCTTCATTAGGTTCACCTGTATATGCTTACACCTTCATTAGGTTCACCTGTATATGCTTACTCCTTCATTAGGTTCACCTGTATATGATAACTCCTTCATTAGGTTCACCTGTATATGCTTACTCCTTCATTAGGTTCACCTGTATATGCTTACACCTTCATTAGGTTCACCTGTATATGCTTACACCTTCATTAGGTTCACCTGTATATGATAACTCCTTCATTAGGTTCACCTGTATATGCTTACTCCTTCATTAGGTTCACCTGTATGTGCTTACTCCTTCATTAGGTTCACCTGTATATGCTTACACCTTCATTAGGTTCACCTGTATATGATAACTCCTTCATTAGGTTCACCTGTATATGCTTACTCCTTCATTAGGTTCACCTGTATATGCTTACACCTTCATTAGGTTCACCTGTATATGCTTACACCTTCATTAGGTTCACCTGTATATGCTTACTCCTTCATTAGGTTCACCTGTATATGCTTACACCTTCATTAGGTTCACCTGTATATGCTTACACCTTCATTAGGTTCACCTGTATATGCTTACTCCTTCATTAGGTTCACCTGTATATGATAACTCCTTCATTAGGTTCACCTGTATATGCTTACTCCTTCATTAGGTTTACCTGTATGTGCTTACACCTTCATTAGGTTCACCTGTATATGCTTACACCTTCATTAGGTTCACCTGTATATGATAACTCCTTCATTAGGTTCACCTGTATATGCTTACTCCTTCATTAGGTTCACCTGTATATGCTTACACCTTCATTAGGTTCACCTGTATATGCTTACACCTTCATTAGGTTCACCTGTATATGCTTACTCCTTCATTAGGTTCACCTGTATATGCTTACACCTTCATTAGGTTCACCTGTATATGATAACTCCTTCATTAGGTTCACCTGTATATGCTTACACCTTCATTAGGTTCACCTGTATATGCTTACACCTTCATTAGGTTCACCTGTATATGCTTACACCTTCATTAGGTTCACCTGTATATGCTTACACCTTCATTAGGTTCACCTGTATATGCTTACTCCTTCATTAGGTTCACCTGTATATGCTTACTCCCTCATTAGGTTCACCTGTATATGCTTACACCTTCATTAGGTTCACCTGTATATGCTTACACCTTCATTAGGTTCACCTGTATATGCTTACTCCTTCATTAAGTTCACCTGTATATGCTTACACCTTCATTAGGTTCACCTGTATATGCTTACACCTTCATTAGGTTCACCTGTATATGCTTACACCTTCATTAGGTTCACCTGTATATGATAACTCCTTCATTAGGTTCACCTGTATATGCTTACACCTTCATTAGGTTCACCTGTATATGCTTACACCTTCATTAGGTTCACCTGTATATGCTTACACCTTCATTAGGTTCACCTGTATATGCTTACACCTTCATTAGGTTCACCTGTATATGCTTACACCTTCATTAGGTTCACCTGTATATGCTTACTCCTTCATTAGGTTCACCTGTATATGCTTACACCTTCATTAGGTTCACTAACGCAATCAAAGTGTTGTAAGGATGAAAACAGTCGCCGAAACATTGAAAACTAAAAGAAACACAACCATGGCTCCGTTTTTGGCGCCATCAAACTGTCGTTTGTCCAACAGTTTATATTCATGAATATTGCAGACATTGACTGGCTTCTCTCTGTCTCCATGTACTCAAACAGCTGCTGATGTGACGGCAAGCTAGAATATACGACGTCATTATACAATCTATGATCATAAGCATTCCGCGACAACTCAATTGTCTGTACCAAGCTTTTCCGCAAGAGGGGTGATTTCAATTTTCAAATCGCTAATTCCCCCTTATGTCGAGCAGTACACCGTTAGCCCCAGGTTATGGCGTCTACATTTCCCAGTTATTTCTAGAGCATGTACATATTATTTAATTTCAAGGAAAGAGACGTTTTGCTTACAACAAATCTTGCCAATCAAGTTTCACCTTTAATGGCCGGGTTGAGTACTTCCAGAAATGTTATGGCAGACATTGATGGGTATTTCCCTTATTTAGCAAGTCGCTTGTCAACGTGATGCGCGATCCTATCCTATGCTAAGTCCGTTACAGGGAGTTTCAGTACCTCCTAACTCAGGGATTACCTTTTCAGTGCAACCGGTTGAGCAGGAATAATAAGTTAAACCCTTTTCTCGAACACCTCGTGCCATCATTTGCCATTTTTTGCCAATATTTATATAAAATTGGATATGTTGATTCTCCTATGTGTACTTTCTGTACAAATCAACCTGAAACTATAATCCATATGTTGTGTCATTGTGAACATGTAAGAAAGATTTGGGAGAGACTGTATATCTGGTTCAAATCCGTTGTGGAAGGAACCATTGATTTAAACAGAGAAAATGTTTTGTTTGGATTTCAAGGCAAACACAACAACCCATTGAATATTGTACTTTTAATAACAAAACAAGTAATGTACAGACAATGTAGGAAAGGATTAAGGCCACATTTTGAACACATACAGCATGAGATAAAAAGTTATAACAATGTTACAAAGGTAATTTCATTCACAAATTGTAACTATGCAAACTTTTTTAGTTTTTGGTCTTCCTTCCACACTTTGTTAAAAACTGAACATAGATACACTGATACAGTACGTGGACTTTACAGGCTAGAATTCATTGTATGGAAAGATGTACATTTTTTGAAAACCATGTACCACAACTGTATTGGCATGATATGTATATATAGATGCTGTACCTGCTGAGTTGAATAAAGAGGGAAAATAAAAAATAAATAAAAATCATTTGCCATTTTCGTCAAATATCTGCAGATAGTCGAGGCCGAGACTTGATTCTCTGGCTTTGACGTTTTGAATTTGCAGAATAAAGATACAAACGAAATTGTTCAGACAAAGTAGTAGTCATGTCGTCATATCGAGTGTTACTTGTTTTCAAATTTGGAATAGAAAACAATAAAAAGTATTCATGCACAGTCTAGTAGGATCGAAACATGTTTCATCGAATGAGATTGCACGAGGTACAGATGTTTCCAATATGCTTTGCAGGCGCTATGTCCGACAGCAGAGAACCGACCAGTCTCGACCACAGTGGCGAGACCTACTGCGGCGTGGGGAGCTTCAGGCCACGTATTCTGCAGCCATGCAAGCATATCCTGTCGTTCTCTTTGGTTTATGGCTTCGCCGGACTTATCTCCCAGAGTCTCAATTTCTACATCAACTCTCAGGTCACAGCCCTTGAGAAGCAGTTCCAACTGGACAGCACCACCACCGGCATCATCCTCAGCTGCAACGACATCGGCTTCCTCTGCACGGTCCTACTAGTCAGCCATTTTGGAAGCAGTCGCCACATTCCCAGAATTCTGTCTGCGGCCTGCTTCCTGTTTGGTATTTCCGGTATTCTTGTGAGTCTGTGTCAGTTTGTCGACCCGTTCTACTTACCACAGCTATCAGATTCTGCTGTTGCCAATTCCTCTACGAAAGTGTTCACTGCTCCGTTGTGTCGGCATGGCAACGTGTCCGAGATGGAAGAATGCGGAGCCGATGTGATCCAGTCATCGTTGGGTCCTCGCTGGGTGGTGTGGATGCTGGGGGCGGGGATGGTGCTTCAGGGGATCGGAAAGTCACCCCGGACGTCCCTCTCTACAGCCTACATCGACAACAACAACCCTATCAAGACCAAAACAGGACTGTATCTGGGTATGTTCTATATCTTGAGTGAGTGAATGGTTGCGGAGATGTTATTTTACGCCGCAGTCGGAATTGTCTAGGTGGTGGCATGAGGAACAACATCCTTGGGACACGATGGCAAACAATCAGCCAGGTCATAGTATGTGGTTACCCGATTCTCAGTGGTAGTAGCCGAAATCCCCTTGGAAATTCAGACGTAGAGACATAATCACATTGTCGTCACCATTATATGTAACCATGGAAATATCAGATACAACTCGGGTACATGCAGCTCGTAGAATTATATCAAATCACCTGGTGTCATCACTATTTAATTATGATTCATAGACACATGCTCATCATACAGTCGGAATCTTAGAATCGCAGAGATTTCTTATGAATAAGAAATGAGTTTTGTCGCTTTTTTCTATTAATGATGCACATTAAACTGATTGTGAGCAAGTTATCACAACTTATATCCCATATATTGCATGCATGCTTATTGACATGTGATACATAAGAGAAAGAAGAGAACAAGAGAAACCTGAACCTTTTTATGTTTCATTCCTGAATATGTTTTGTTTGTGTTTTTACCTAGGTATAAGCACAACGATGATTGTGTTCGGACCGGCGCTTGCAACAGCACTAGGAGGTGTATTCCGACAGATTCCCGTGGATCTACAAGGTAAAGTATCAGTCATCAGTACAGCTCGACTAGAGCTCTGCCTACGAACAGGTTTCATTCATCGCAAAGGTTATCGGGTGTGGTTAGCACCACGCTTAGGTTCTTTTCCCGAAGATAGCACATAACATGTAGCGTATTTAACCATCTCTTAACCTTATAAGGCTCCCAAATAAAAGAAGCATAAAAACTCACTCGCCACACCATGCCTTATTCTAGAGACCTCTATGGCCCCAACACACCCGAAATGGATAGGCGCTTGGTGGATAGGGTTCCTGCTGTTTGGATGTCTGGGAGTTATTCTTGGACTTCCTCTGCTGTTATTTCCTAAACGCCTACAACCATCGTCAAGCACGGCTACTGCCGAGGACGCAAACAACTCAGTTATCCACAGCATCAAAGGTATGTCATATGCGCATATTGACCATTTTGACCAATGCACTAGGTACACACATTGTAAAACTAAATAGCGACATATTGGTATTGCTTGCAAAGAAATGCAAGATTCGTGTGGCGTTCGTATACACTTCTTTCAAAGTATTCATACTCTGGACCCGTTTGACACAGCGATCATTTAGACGATAGTGAGTGAGTGAGTGAGTGAGTTGGGTTTAACGCCTTTTAACAGGTCAGTATTCCAGATAGTGTCAACTTAATGTGGGGGAAAACCCGAAGTGGTGCAAGTCTCAGACGTTTATCACTTCACACACATTCAGCACGGGTATGCTGCTGACAAACCGGGATTCAAACCCACAGCCATAGGTTTCTGACGTGCCCAAGGGACGCAACTTCGCACAGCGAACTGCGGCACCTTAGACGACTGGGCCACCCGTTGCCCCTACAACGATAGTACTTTAACATAGGATTACTGTAGTGGCAATGCTACGATCGCTTTGTTAAACGGCCCTAAGAGCCATACAATTATGTACATTGACGTAATGCTTTTTCTACTACACCCCCTGTCACCGCTGTGCAGATCTGCCCCGGTCCGTGTTGCGAGTGGTGCGGAGGCCCGTGTACACGCTTTGCGTCACTGGGCTCATGTTCCTCATCTTCGTTGTGGCCGGAACAGAGTCCTTCAGCTCCAAGTACGTGGAGAAGCAGTTCATGGTGCCGGGATACAAGACCAACATAATACTGGGTAGGCCAACATCATTCCAGGTAGGTGAACATCATACTGGTTAGGCGAACACCATACTGGGTAGGTCAACATCATACTGGGTACGTTAACATCATACTGGGTAGGTCAACATCATACTGGTTAGGCAAACATCATAGTGAGTAGGTTAACATCTTATGGCGGTAGGTCAACATCATACTGGGTAGGTTAACATCACACTGGGTAGGTCAACATCATACAGGATAGGTTAACATCATGCTGGCTAGGTTAACATCATACTTGGTAGATCAACATCATACTCGGTAGGTTAACATCATACTGGGTTGGTTAACACCACGCTGGGTATGTCAACATCATACAGGATAGGTCAACATCATACTGAGTTGGTCAACATCATGCTGGGTATGTCAACATCATACTGGTTACGTTAACATCATACTGGGTTGGTCAACATCATACTGGGTAGGTCAACACCATAGTGGCTAGGCTAACATTACACTGTGTAGGCCAACATTATACTGGGTAGGTCAACATTATACTGAGTAGGTCAACATCATACTGGGTATTTCAACACCATACTGGATAGGTTAACATCATACTTGGTTGGTCAACATCACACTGGGTAGGTCAACATCATACAGGATAGGTTAACATCATGCTGGCTAGGTTAACATCATACTTGGTAGATCAACATCATACTCGGTAGGTTAACATCATACTGGGTTGGTTAACACCACGCTGGGTATGTCAACATCATACAGGATAGGTCAACATCATACTGAGTTGGTCAACATCATGCTGGGTATGTCAACATCATACTGGTTACGTTAACATCATACTGGGTTGGTCAACATCATACTGGGTAGGTCAACACCATAGTGGCTAGGCTAACATTACACTGTGTAGGCCAACATTATACTGAGTAGGTCAACATCATACTGGGTATTTCAACACCATACTGGATAGGTTAACATCATACTTGGTTGGTCAACATCATACTGGGTTGGTCAACATCATACTGGGTAGGTCAACATTATACTGAGTAGGTCAACATCATACTGGGTATTTCAACACCATACTGGATAGGTTAACATCATACTTGGTTGGTCAAACATCATACTGGGTTGGTCAACATCATACTGGGTAGGTCAACACCATAGTGGCCAGGCTAACATTACACTGTGTAGGCCAACATTACACTGTGTAGGCCAACATTATACTGGGTAGGTCAACATTATACTGAGTAGGTCAACATCATACTGGGTATTTCAACACCATACTTGATAGGTTAACATCATACTGGGTAGGTCAACATTATACTGAGTAGGTCAACATCATACTGGGTATTTCAACACCATACTGGATAGGTTAACATCATACTTGGTTGGTCAACATCATACTGGGTAGGTCAACATCATACTGGATACGTTAACACCATGCTTGGTAGGTCAACATCATACTGAGTAGGCTAACATCATACTGGGTAGATCGACGTCATAGTGGGTATACAACGTTACACAGCTACCCACATGAACTTTCATCTACACAACAGCATACACAGTGGTTACATTAGCAGCCGCCACGAGTTATCAACACTACAGCTATATGGCGGCGGCCATGGGGTAGTCGGGCAAGGACCAAGCAAACGATCCATGCGATACGCTGACACACATTCGGTTGGCCAGGCTACTAGGTCTGTGTGTCAAAAGTACGTTTATATAACACCATTCGCCTTCGTGAATTATCCTACACAATTGACATTTACATTTAAACCTACTAAAACTGTGTTTGAACGTCACACGTGCTTCCCGTTGAATATACGTCATCATCTACCCTAGGTGTGCAGAAGTTGGTGTCGGTGACGATAGGGACGTTTACAGGGGGATTCCTGACATCACGGCTCAAGTTGACCCGGCTTGGGTGCAGCAGGATGATCCTGACATCGGTGTGTCTTTCGTGTTTCTTCAACTGTCTGGACTTCTTCCTTGGATGTGAAACTCCCCACATACGTGGCTTCAGTTCTGGAGAAGAGTAAGACTGATGTTAATGTCCTCATCACCTTCATTCAGACTTCACGATTGGAATAGGTCTTCACCAACCCATGCTTGCCGTAAAAGGCGACTATGCGTGCCGTAAAAGGCGACTATGCTTGTCGTAAAAGGCGACTAACGAGATCGGATGGTCAGGCTCGCTGACTTGGTTCATGCGTGTCATCGTAACCCGGTCACCTAGATCGATGCTCATGATGTCAATCACTGGATTGTCTGGTCCAGAATCGATTATTTACAGACCGCCGTCATACAGCTGCAATATTGCTGAGTGCGGCGTTAAACAAAAAAAGAGAGGAAAAGTTCATTGAGAAGGATGAGAAACTGATGCTAATGTCCTCTTTCCTACGATGTTGTTTATACTGTTTAGGGACGTTGTGTTTGAGGACGGCATCACTGCATGCACGTGCGACACCACCAACTACTTCCCAGTGTGTGGAGACAACATCACCTACTTCTCCCCCTGCTTTGCCGGTTGTACCAACCAGTCCCAGTCGGTGAGATCATAGCCGTGTTCCATGCATTAGATTCGCTGTAATAAACCCTTCTACTATGACACTCAAGAACCATGTTATGTCCTTCTAAGTAGTGCCCATGAAGATCCGGGGTAGAATAGGTCTTCAGCAATCCATGCTTGCCTTAAAAGGTGAGTATGCTTGTCGTAAAAGGCGACTAACGGGATCGGGTGGTCAGGCTCGTTGACTTGGTTGATGCATGTCATCGATCCCAATTGCGTGGATCGATGCTCATGATGTTAATCACTGGATTGTCTGGTCCAGACTCGATTATTTAGAGACCGCCGTCATATAGCTGGAATATTGCTGAGTGCGGCGTTAAACAACCAACCAACCAACCAACCAACCAACCTTCCAAGTATACCAGTGGAAACACTAGGAATGTGGGTTACTCAAAGCTTACATATGACTCTTCTTTCCTTTCTTTTCACTTACAGATACGGGGCGGTCGGGTAGCCTAGTGGTTAAAGCGTTCGCTCGTCACGCCGAAGACCCGGGTTCGATTCCCGACATGGGCACAATGTGTGAAGCCCATTTCTGGTGTCCCCCGCCGTGATATTGCTGGAATAGTGCTAAAAGCGGCGTAAAACCATACTCACTCACTCACTTACAGATACAAATCTTTACGATATGCCTTATTAGGCGAGGTGAGATAGAGTTTAAAGTCGCGTTCAAGATTACTGCACTTATATAGCGATGTGCATGCACGTGTGTGTGAAGCTGCCTGTACCTGTCCTGACCCCACTCAGACACATTATACTCCGAGCCGACTATTCCTTGTATTATCCGCTTGATATCGAACGCCAGGCATGGTAACAACAAGTACCTTCGTCAATTGGTGTGACGCGGTCGAGTATCGAACCACAGACCTTCAGCTCTCCGGGTAAACGCTCTATCCACTACACCACGGACGCCTCCCTGAGGCGCTGACGGTAGTAATTGGACGCCCATGAGTTGTTGGTTTATACAAACTGGCATCCAACCTGCATCATTTTCGGTTTCCCTCCACCGTTAGGTCGATACGCTGTGGTATTCCTGTTCAGGGTGGCGTTAGCCCCTACTCCTTCAATCCTGTGAAGGAACTTTTAGATAAAAGATATCAAGTAAGGTTCGCGTTAATGTAATTTATTATAGGTAAATTTAGAATGTAACTCTAATTTCTTCTGCACCAGCTTTATGGTGGCTGTAGCAAGGTGACCAGTGGTCAGACGACAGCTGGGATGTGTGCTACCGACTGCCCCTACCTCTACTACTACATCGCCGTCGACATGGCCATGAGACTGTGCGGCACGCTGTCTATTATGCCAATGTATATGCTGCAGATCAGGTAATCTACATAAATGATGCGCCGGAGTCTTCACGTTTCCACGGGAGTGGAGGGCTAGCCTAGTGGTTAAAGCGTTCGCTCGTCACGCCGAAGACCCGGGTTCGAGTCCCGACATGGGTACAATGTGTGAAGCCCATTTCTGGTGTTCCCCGCCGTGATATTGCTGGAATATTGCTAAAAGCGGCGTAAGACCATACTATCCCAGACGAGTATCAGACATCATGCTGAACGGCAGTTACAGCATGACAAGTACTGTCATGTTTTTTGTCACGACTCATGGCCAAACGCCATACTGATTGCACTAAGTCTGGACGCCAGGACTGGGTTCCTGGCACTTGTGTGTGATTACCAATATCGGAAGAGTAACTATGTCTGGTTAGTATGCCTGTCCAGTCAAGATGACGTCATTTATGGCTAAATGAGTATGTAATAATGCAATATTTGTTCTTTTCTTCAGGAGTGTTGACGAGCGAGACAAAGCTATGGCGGTTGGCCTGCTGTCCTTCCTGGCGTCTCTCTTAGGTTGGTAATGAACACACCCGTTGCAGCTCCTGTCAATCACGTACATTGTTTTAGAAGGCGGCCGAGCATGCAGGGGTACTGGATAATGGGAACCTTTTCAAAATTGTTTGAATCCGTATCAGATGTTAAAAATTAAAATGACAAAACATCAATAATCCCTTACATTACATGCATACGCGGATCCTGAGGGGTGAGCAGATGTGTAGTGAGTGAGTGAGTGGGTGAGTATGGTTTACGCCGCGTTTAACAATATTCCAGCAATATCCCTGCGGGGGAAACGAGAATTGGGCTTTACACCTTGTACCCATATCGGGAATTGAACCCGGGTCTTCGGCATGACGAGCGAACGCTTTAACCACTGGGCTAAACGACCGCCCCTAGAGGTGTAGAGACAGGCGGGGTTGCGCATCCCCGGTTTTCTGTAGTATGATCATGTAAGGGTATAACATATATAATATATACAATGTAATAAACCGAATTTACCATTTAAGTAACCCCTCTGTTTTAAGAAAACTGCATGTTTCCGCGCTTGACATCTGCACCATTTTTCAATTTTGAAATTATGTATTTGTTACCCACTTTTAAATTATGAAGGTATGTACTTGTTGCAGGGTTCTTGCCTGCACCCATCATCGCTGGCAATGTGATCGATAGCACCTGCCTCATCTGGGATGTCACGTGCGGCGTGAGGGGGTCATGTGCACAGTATGACCTGACATCACTGAGATTGAGGCTCAAGGCTCTAGAGGTCAGCGGTAAGGTCATGGCGATCACCTTCTTCCTGATCACCCTGCTTGTACTGAGACGCGAGGAAAGGAACGCTGAAACATATGGTACAAAAGAAGAGAAACCACAGAACTCGAACAACACGATACAAGCAACCAAATTTTGACATACACTGTGAAAAGGAATATTAATAAAATATGATTCAAGCTTATTGTCAATTTTTAAGATTCGATATGTTGAACATTTAGATGAATTTGCAATACCCGCGTTTCAAGTTTGCCAATTTATATTATGTTGTTAAAGGGTTACTTTTAACCAGGAGGATGATACGAAACTCTGTGTCAACCAAACATAGCTCAGGCCAGTTTGATCTAAGATAGTTTGAACAAACATGGGCCTTTGTACATTCTACTATTGGTAATTGTATCTTTATACATGAACATGTATAAAATATGAGACAGTTTACTGCATTTTGCAGACAAAATATTCGACCAAAGTTTTAATATCTATAAGAAGGGAAGTTCTACCAAGCTCGCCATAAAACATTAAGAGTGGTGTATTTTTTAACTGGGATCAGGGTTCTTAGACAATGTATATATGGACTTTTTTCTAATCATCTTTTAAATTTATATTTTCAAAACTCCAAACTTCACATCCACAAGAGAATAGGTTTACCATTGTATCATAGATAAAGTTGACGTTGAAGTGAAAGGTTATGTATGCGTGATTAATGTAGAACATGGCTTTGGTAGCTTGATCACATAGGCCTTTTAATGACTTTGTGATATTGTTTTTTTTCTGGAAATGAAACCCAAAATACTTATACTCGACAGCAAATTCTAGATCAGTTCCATAGAAACATATATGCTTTCTTTTGTCAGATTACAATATTGTTAATACTTTCTGTCCATCGTATTTAACATTAACACCCAAAATATCAACCATTAATAGATATGAGTTACGAAATGAGAACAATATCAATATGCCGCATGCTACATACCAGCATTCATTTATACCTTCTTCATTCAAACTATGGAATGAGTTACCCCCTGAATACACAAGTGCAACATCATTGTCAAATTTTAAACAGATGATTAAAACAACAACTGCAGCTCCACCTCCGAAGATTTTATATACGCGTATAAGACACTCTTAAAGTTCCTAAATGCAGATATTTTCAAAGTACATTTGTCGGATACTTTGGCCTGCTCTTGTGGAAATCAATGGGAAAACAATATACACTTCTTTCTTGATTGTCCCAATTACACTATTCCCAGAAATATCATGTTCGCTAACATTATAACAGCTGGATGTACATGTACAATACAAAATAGTCTCTACGGTGATGAATCTCTAGCTAAAAGTCACCACAGCGTTCAAAAATATATACTGTCGACTAATAGGTTTGAGTAACTCTTTATCATAAGTATAGAATACCGCTCTGCGACCACATACACACACACGCACGCACGCACGCACGCACACACACACACACACACGGGCCTGCAGGTCGCTGTAAGTGTAATAATCTTGAGCACGACGTTAAACCCCATTTCACCTCGCCTCGACAACGAGAGAGGTTTTCGACAAGGAGATCCAAATTCCCCATATTTGTTTCTTTTGAAGGCTGAAATACTAGGGATAATGGTAAGAAATATTAAGAACTATTTCTAGATGGGATTCGAACCTACAATCATAGGTTTCTGGCGTAGCCAAGTAATGCAACTCTGCACAGCGAATTGCGGCCCCTTAGACGACTGGGCCACCCGTACACACTGGAGTACGTAGTAGTAAATGTGTACAAGTTCTTTACACTTGAAAGAGAAAGTGGGAAACCATTTATTAGTTTAGATGGGGTGTATTACCGAACTGCACAAGCCCTGGGGGCTTTCATACCGACAGGTCTACGGTATTATAAATAAAAAAAGAAGGTAAAGGGTGGTCTAAAAAAAAATACCAGGACGTAAAAAAATACTAGACAGCTTTGATACAGGGGTGGTTAGGCGTACAGTGTGGGCATTTATGAGCAGAAGGTATCCCCGACATGTAGTAGAATTTTGGAGGAAAATAAGGACACAATTTATGTTCCCCGGACTACATTAATGTTTGCTGTTCGCGACATACACTGCTCCTGGCCATGACCGAGCATTTGTCAGGGGAAAATAATCCACCCTGTCTATGAGGTCACATTATCTCTGCACCATTCATGACTATCGCAGTCAGGGCTTCCAGATAATTTACCTTGATGAAACCTTGGTGAATAAGAATCATTCCACTGACTACATGTGGCTACCGTCAGATGGACGAAATGCACCCATGGTTCCATCGGGTGAAGGTTAATGTGTCATTGTTGTGTACGCCGGAACCTGTGATCTGGGTCTTGTTAGTGGATGTAAGCTAGTTTTCGAGGTAAAAAGCAAACTGGTGATTATCATTAGGAAATGAATGTTGATAATAATAATAGGCCATTTATTTTGCGCATCTTTCCACACCACTCCCTGGAGAGTATACAAATCAATCTGCCTGTGAGGCGCTAGAATGTAAACAACCACCATCTCATCCTACCGGGTACCCATTCACTGCTGGATGAACAGAGGCACATTTCGAAAAAAGTCACTTGCCCAAGGAGAGTGCTTCAGTGTGGGGCAGGACCGAAGCCCTAGAAACTCTCAGGAGCCGGGCTGCCGAAACGCGGTCACCCATGCAAGGACTCGCTGAGACCGACGTTGCTTAACTTCACCTGGGGCGGTCGGGTAGCCTAGTGGTTAAAGCGTTCGCTCGTCACGCCGAAGACCCGTGTTCGATTCCCGACATGGGTACAATGTGTGAAGCCCATTTCTGGTGTCCCCCGCCGTGATATTGCTGGAATATTGCTAAAAGCGGCGTAAAACCATACTCACTCACTCACTCACTTAACTTAACCTGATTTGTGGCCTATGCCCTGGGCACAGGACCACTTGCCACCATGTGTTTATAGACACGTGGTCACACATGCAAGGACTCTCCGCGACCGACGTTGCTTTACTTCACCTGATTTGTGACCTATGCGCTGTGCACATGACCACGTGCCACCATGTGACTGGATGGAACATCAGCTACTGCCCAGTCTAAACAACCCCAGTTTCATTGTCATGGATAACGCCAGTTATCATAACGTCTTGGAACCAGATACTGTCGCGCCTACCATGAGTAGTCTGAAGGCGACCATGCAGTAATATCTGCCGTCATACCTTCTGAAACCAAAGTTCATCTAATTGAGACAATTCACTTAAACAAGAAACCGCTAAGTAGAGTACATCCTAAAAAAAACAATAATGTTTTCGTAAAAACAACACTTTGGTTATATCAATGTTTATTCTGTTTGCGGAGTAGATGTCATCAAAGTCCTCACCCAAGCAATGGTAATACTACCGGATCTCCATTATGTGATTTCTAGTTTTTGGATGACATAGTGTTCTCAGTAACCGTAATGTGGAAATATATAGTTGATTGGTTTTATATTCAAGTTCGTATTTCCGCTATTCAAAGTGTGCAGTGAGGCCGTCTTATCGACAGTCATTTCTGAGACATAAATGCAAAGTTTAATTAATTAAGTCTACTCTAATTTTTTGCATTTATAAGTTATAGAACACCCACAATTATAAGATTGAATTTCTACAAAACAATCAGCCATGACTAATTAATTAAGTATATACTTCGATTTTAACCTGATTTATTGAGAGCGTATTGCCATGATCTGCTCGCGCTTTCGGCGTGATGGTCACATACAACTGAATAGGGCAGTAAATCAATCAATTACACTTTATGCAAAACTCTGTGGATTGTTTTAAAATCGCCTACGTCTGTACAGTTAAATTATGTTTTAAGTACATAGTGAGAAAAATTCAACATTCCCTCCCATTTGCAGCAGATATCACATGCGGCCCCTATAGTGGTCAAGAGGGGATATTGCTTAAGGGCGAGAAAGCGAGAAAGCGATGCCCCCTCTCGGCCACCATACAGTCGTCGTTTCGGCACCAGAACCGCCAGGGACCGGCTGAAAGCAGCAGGACTGAGGGCTAGACGATAGGTGTTTTGCGGTAGGTATTCCGTCCCCTCTGAAAGAAGATACGTCGCAAGTCAAGTCAAAGTCGGAAGGCCTGAAAACGCCCTCATGTTGCTCTCATATGGGTTCCGTCAGCCGTCTAGAAAATGCTGCCTTGAAGCGTCTCGAATATTGTTCTCGGAAGTTCATAACTGTTAACAAACCTCAAATACTGCGATACAATACTGCCACATAACAAATGTGAATCGTTGCTGAACCGCAGCTCTCCATTGCATGTTGACATGGAACCAAGTGGAGGATTATGGTCCGTCAAACTGACGCCTCAACAGGTTGTCTGGCGCGAAGACCTGCAACATGAGGAACTGATATTCTCGCAATCTGGACTGATATCCTCTCAATTTGGACTGATATCGTCGCAGTCTGGACTGAGATCCTCGCAGTTTGGACTAATATCCTCGCGGTCTGGACTGACATCCCCGCAGTCTGGACTGATATTCCCGCAGTCTGGACTGATTTCCCCGCAATCTGGATTGATATTCTCGCCGTTTGGACTGATATCCTCGCAGTCTGGACTGATATCCTACGCAAAAACCGGGTATGGCGGATGCCGTAGAGGTTACCATGATGGTCCTTCGTGGTAGGTGATGAACCCGTGTGTTGCCGTCTTTGTTTGTTTGTTGTTTTTGCTGTTCTCAGCAATTTCCAGCTATATGACGGCAGTCTGCACATAATCGAATCTTGACCAGACAATCCAGGTCGAGAATCGATCTACGCAATTGGGATACGATGACGACTTTACTGTGGAGGTCAAACATGGCCTTACCGATCTTGGAAACTCCCGTGTTGCCTCCCGTGTTGTTGTTGAGATACATGAAATGCTCTGGCTGAGGCTGAGCTGCATGTGTTTGCTGTTGTGCAATCGACCAGATAAAGAGGGCAGGTAAGTGAAAGTCCTGCACGTATAGATCGCGCACATGCAATGGTCACTTGGATGCGTTTTGGCGAATTTGCACGTTTATGATCAGATGTGTGTGAAAGACGCAAGGAGTATAAATGAATTTAACATACACACGCACGCACGCTCGTGCACACGCGCACACAGATCTACAAACATTCATTTCTGAAATTCAACTGTCAGGTCGTATACAAAGAATAAAACCTTTGAGTAGAATGAATCCATTTACTGGCAAGAACCTTCAGCTCAGTTCAGTTGGTAAGACTTCCGCCCGTAACCATTGCCTCGAATTAAAAAAAAATGATAAACCCTAAATAGAAGTATCAATAACCCATCTAAGTAGGGTTAGTGCTTGGATTGGGTTGCTCTAACACAGGCCAACTTCCCGAGGCAAGGGAGATAACTGACATTAAAAGTCAAGTTTCCACCCTTGCAAAACTTGACTGGAGGCTCTACTACATCAAATCAGAATCAATCGTTCGACAAGCACTGAGTCTTCAGTGCAGATTGAATCATCCGGAAGCGGTGGTTGTATGATTTTGTGTAAGATTTTAATGTTTTTGAATGTACATACATCCAGTAATTAAAACTGACCATTTTTTTCAAGATATATAGTGCTGTCGTTTTTAACGAGATGACTTGTGCTGAATGTGACCACAGATGTTTACAAGCAAGTGACATTTGGTGCGAAACTGGGGGTGATGTGTTTAGCTTCCTGTACTCGGAAAGGGGGTGGCTAAGCTAAGTCAACATTTTTGTTTTATTGCTGCTTTAAGGCCAGACTGAGCGCACATTTACATGTAATAGTTGTTGAATGCTTAACAGTTTAAAATATATATATAACGTTACTATAGAAGCCCATGGGAAAACATTTGATTGTGTGTAACCTGGAATTTCTGGGTTCGATTGTAGCGCCACCAGTGGCTATTTCGAGTTATGTCTCTTCTATGTCCCCGCTACTGAGCAATCAGATTCCACCTCTCATATCTCTTGTAATTTCTTCAAACTAAATGGCGGCGATAATAAAGATCGTTATTGTTTTCATGAAGTTCATCAAATTACTTGAGCACATTGATTAAAAACATAAAAAGAATTGGAAAATATCTGTCGACACCCAGTTATTGGTATTCATGCTCTGCAAATCCTGCAATCGAACGAATTCGTCACGGCGGTTGTAATGTTGTTTATGAACCGGATGTCGATTTCGTTACGGGGTTTTGATTGGACTATTGGACTATATCGTTAGTCCTCGCTCGGGAAGACGACCCAGACAAAAATTTGGAGCAGGAAATATTTCCGGTCAGGTTTTTTTCTCACAATTTTGTACCTCTCTCTGTTACCCGCCTTTAGTAAGGTAGGGAGTGGAGCGATTTGCGAAGACTTTCCCCGTTTGAAGGACTGTGTTCATGGTATTTCAACTTTAGAAAATTATCTTGAAAAGTAATCATAAACATCATCTTTTCTAAGATACTGATTGTTTTATGCATGCTCCGAAATGCTCTTTAATCCATTCAATGACTTTTCAATGTATTCCTTTCCAATTAATCCAAGGTTTCAATTCGTAATAACATACCTGTAACATGGCAAATTTAACACGTAGAAATTCGTGTAAAACAGCATCAGTGTTGTTTTATACTGTTTCAAATGCTATAATATTTCTGGTTCCCGCTGGTGCAGGAGAGATGATTTAATTCGACTGTTGATTGTGTGGGAGGGAGACTATACAACGGCTAATATTAGCATAGACTGCCTGATAATAAAATCATTGTTTAAGCGAGAAGATAGTGAGGCAGTATATCTAAACATATACGTGTGCACGGGTGACTGACGCAATCGACACAATTTGCTGAACAGATTTGTCTCCCTTACACGTGCCAGGATCTTTCCCGACCAAGGTCCTTGGTCTATCAATACAACGCACCTGCTCATGGCTTAAGTCTACTTACTTCTTAACATTGGACTTTCCTCCTACACTTAGGTCTCGTGCCGTGATAGACTTGACATAATGTTAAAAAAGGTGGGAAAAGGGAATCGCATTAAGTGAATGAAAAATCAGTCTCAGATTTTGTATTTGTAACAGGTATTGATGTGCCATGGGGTGTGAAGTTGAAAAACGTTTTGGGACGCCTCCGAAATCGACTTGACATCGGCATAGCATCCTCTGGATCAAGGTTTTGACGGTAGCTCTCGTGATCCGGAGAGTTAAACCTCTAGCAAGCTGTAAATAGCTGGTCCACATTGGCCTGCAGTCCGATATCACCCACAATTCTTCCTACAGATATTTAATGGGTTTGTGTCAGCACTTGAGGCTGCCTAGGCAGAACCCTTTCGAAATTAAAAATATCAATCTTTTGTCTGAAGAGTACCACGACTGGCGTCAAACCCTGTTCATCCGACCATCCTGACGACTGTCCTGTGCTGGTCTTATCAGGCAACACTACCACTGTATCACAACCATATCAGACCCGTGACGATTCCGGGGTATAATAGGTTTTCAACAACCCATGCTTGCCGTAAAAGGCGACTAACGGGATCGGGTGGTCAGGCTCTCTAATTTGGTTGATGAATGTCATCCATCCCAATTGCGTGGATCGATGCTCGTGATGTCAATCACTGGATTGTCTGGTCCAGACTCGATTATTTACAGACCGCCGTCATATAGCTGGAATATATTGCTGAGTGCGGCGTTAAACAAAAAAACCAAACAAACAAACAACCAACCAACCATATCAGTCGGGCTGTGCGATGGTATGCTGCTGAAGACACAAAAATGACTCCGACTATCTGTCGTGAAGCAATCTTAATTCGTCACTTAACATGCAGTGACGCCAAAGACGCCGTGGGCATTTTGGGATAATATACGTCCTCACAAACCTATGTCTGTCGCAAGATACACCATGGATCAGGTAGTCACGCTTTGGTGACTTGGTTGATTGCTTGTCTTTTCCTGGGGACAACTGTCAAATGTAAGCTAGATTATACAGAGGCCGCCATCATATAACTGAAATATTGCATCATTGAATGTGACCACCATATGAACTGTTGCTTTTCCATAAGTATATATCCATCTTTAAGAGGTGATTTTAGTAGTATTAATTTGTAGTCTTTGCTTGTGCGAATAATCATTAAAATGGTATCTGTACCACACCTCTCATTTTGATAATTAGCAGTTTTGTACTGTAGATGGAGTGAGTATGGTTTTACGCCGCCTTTCGCAATATTCCAGCAATATCAAGGCGGGGGAGGCCAGAAATGGACTTCCCACGTTGTTCCTATCACGGGAATCGAACCCAGGTCTTCGGCGTGACTAGCCAACACATTAACCACTAGGCTACCCTACCACCCCTGGGAAAATATAAAAAACACATCTGTACAGATATTATCATATTACTTATCATGGCATAATTTCTCTTCCATGTTCTAATGTAAAGTTGAAAGTAAACGTCTTTTCAATTGTTTCTTATGCACCATGGGATACGAAAGGTCCTGAGGAAATATTTTCCCTGAAAGGTGAATGGCGTCTGAGCGGATCAAAACGTGCATAAAATGATCCTGACTAAGTTTGACCAAACCATATTTCTCTGTGTTGATCCCCGGTGAAAATTTTGTAAAGCAATCTAGCCGAGGAAGGCAGTGGTGACGCCAAACATGTCACGTCATAGTCAAACTTTAAAAACATAACAATGGATATATGTAGAATATAAACGTATGTGGTTATACTGTCATATATGTACATGGCATTATAAAAAACAGATCATTCCAGGAATAGTTAAATAGTCTTACAAAAACACCTTTGATGCTCTGAATACAAGATATATTTTCATTTCGCTGGTGGCCATTACTTAACGAAAAACGAGGTGAGTGTGGTCCAGCTTAATACATACATGCAGTCAGACGTATTGTTAGTGAGATATTTGTACAGTAGTATATTGTCACAGGTAGGTAGAGCTTGTTTCCTTGTTGAGGTGCTGTGAATGTCTCTGTCTGATGGCGAGTGCGCAGAAAGCGAGGCCACATGAGGCCATGGCGGCCATAGTACTGACCACTACCCCATCGTATGTGTTGGTGATATCCTTCACAGTACCTGGAACATGGAGGGAACTGTTTTAGGCATTTAGGTTGGTTGGTTTGTTGTTTTACGCCGCACTCAGCAATATTCCAGCTATATGACGGCGGTCTGTAAATAATCGAGTCTGGCCCAGACAATCCAGTGATTGACATCATGAGCATCGATCCACGCCATCGATCCACGCCGATCACGGGTCTAGGCATTTAGGCTTTACAGCAGATAGATTCTCTAGGTTTAGGGAATTTGAAGATATCCCAAGTTTGTGGTAAGTGACATAATGAATGCTTACTACTGCTTCTAGAAAGGATAAAGCGAATATTTGTGATGAAACTTTAACAGTTTCATAGTGTAAAAACCAAGACACAAGCGTTGACGGATATCCTTCAAATTTGAGAATTTCAATTTCAAGAACAGCATAAACTATAACTTCATAACAATTCCACAAATCAATTATTAAACCACATCATGACAATATCCCACATGCCTTACCTGCTATAGGGCCTCCCAAGAACGCCCCCAAACCGCATATCGTCTCACCATAGCCTACAGCTGATGCGTAGCGTTTGGGTCCTGCTATTTCGAACATGAGGGAAGGGTAGGCCACTGAGCAACACCCAAGGGGGATGCCATAGCACACGACAGCGGCGACCAGGCTAGGGTAGGTGTTCGCCCATACTAGGGGTAGCAGGCTTACGGAGAGTACTATGCACATAGTGGCAAACAAAGTCACTTGTGATACCTTCACCAATGGTCTGACGAAGAGGTAGAGGAATCGCCCTCCCAAACTGCTCAGCCCAATAAGGGAGAGCAGATAGGACCCGGTTTTGGCGTCAAGTCCTTTAGAAATAGTCATATCCACAAAGAAAAAGTTTATTGACGGCAGAAGACTCATTAGAATAAACAGGCATATTCCTAACACAACGAACCCAAAGTCTTTAAATAACCCTAAGTTAAGGGTTTCTATGAAAGGCTGTTTCTTCGGTTTTATGTCTTTTATTTCAGAAGCGGTGGTGATTTTCCGCTGGCATTCTTCAGTATTGGTCATATGTAAACTACTCATTACTTCTCCATTGTGGTCTTGTTGGCTGTTGCTATTGTTCCCATGGTCATCAACGTATGTCACATTGTCATAGGCTAGCGAATTGTTCTCTGTCTGTGGTGGTACCCGTGTATCAGTGACAACGGTGTTCCCGTCCCTTATGTCACTAATGTTGCTATTTTCAATCTTGAGTTCCTTGTCCTGTTTGATGTCCCTGCTAAGCATGGTCAGGACCATTCCAATAGGACATGCTTGGAGCATGATGCCGCCCAGGATGAGGAAGCTGCCTCTCCATCCAAACATATCCATCAGAGCTGAGTTGAGGAAGGGGAAGATGAGAGAGCCAAAGCCTGGACCTATACTGACAACAGTGAGCACCTGGTGCCGTCTTTTGTCAAACATCAGTCCTGTCACTGTGTAGGGTACCACAGTGAACGTACACAGACCACATCCTGCAAAAGGTGAGAGGGCGAGTGAGTGAGTATTCCATTTATATTATCAAGTGTCAGCTTAATATGGGAGTAAAGCCCGAACTGAGGCAGGTCCAAGACGCTTACCACTTTGATGAATCATACGAACACGGGTATGGTGCTGACAAACATATAGTCCGTCAACCATCATTTTGGAACCCGTTTTTTTTACCATTTTCCCCATTAAACACAAAATCATGGTCGGTTATTATCGAATAATAACCACTGACCTAACTTGAAATACCATTTTTTATAGAAACATCATCAATCGAAACGGGATTCGCACACCCGATCATCGGGTTCTGGCATGATCAAGGGGCGCAACTCTGCACAGCGAATTGCGGCGCCTGAGACGACGGGGCTACACGTGTCACCGGTAGGGCGATTGGAGTGAAAGAGGTAGTATTATAGCTATGACACGGTGACTGAACAAACTACGGCTTGATAAAGCAAAGCATCAGCCAAGAGACTATTAATCGACCTCAAAATTACAAAAAAAGGAACAATTGTTTTAATCAACCCTTCAGTTCAATCAGTTATGTTCTTAAATGTTATTGTAAAGTAATTGTTTGAGATACGGGCATTCCAAGTTGCTGTGAAAATATTCGAATTTGTATAACACGATGTTTTCTTTGTTTGTTGTTACGCCGCACACAGCAATATTTCAGCTATATGACGGCGATCTATAAATAATCGAGTCTGGACCAGAGAAGCCAGTGATTGACATCATGAGCATCGATCAACGCAATTGGGACACGATGGTATGCATCAACTACGTCAGCGAGCCTGACCGCCCGATCCCGTTAGTCACCTCTGAATTTAACTATCCACTCAGACACTAACATGTAAGGAGATTTTACTAACCAGTTAGTAAATATTTGCTAAGTAGACTAGTATAAGTGGCCTATTATAGTACAATTTACTAATAAGTTAGTTGAGATTACTATCCATCTTTCAAAGTATCTTCTCATAATTTACGAAATGCAATTATAGTATATTTACTAAGCTTGTAGTCAGTTTCACTACACTTTAATAAATAATCACTTCTTGGTCATTTTGCGCACCTTGTAAACAGCAGCTGAATACAATTTGCAAAACAAAAATTAAATTACAGATGACATAAACAGACCGCTCGGATCCGATGTTTAATCGTTGAAATGGTCAGTTAAACAACTAGGCTGGGAGGTCTAACCTATTTAAACCATGGCTAACATTCATTCAAAGAACCCTAGCACCTGCAATATTTAAACAACCTTGCTTTGATAACCGTATTCAAAAACATAAAAACATACTCAAGAACGATTATCCCGCTCCGTTCAAGATATCAGCATGTACACATAACAACATGGTAGTTTCTTAAACAAATTTTTACAGTGATGGGAATAAAGATAACAAACAGCAGATATTGTTGGATACAGCGTATCCATTGCCGTGTATGACATTTAATAATAGACTATTCCCGATTTTGAGTTATTTTGCAATTCATCGTTCTCATTTGGCGCCAAACGGACTGTTGCTGCGAGAACACTGTGTGAGTCTGCCCTGCGTGATGCACGTGATATATGTCCCGGAACAAGGGCCTCGGTGTGAACTTCGCAGGTTCCCGAATCCCCCTGGCGAAATTGTTCTATCATCAAGCCATGGTTTAAGTTTGGTTACGCAATACTACAAAAAGTAATTGACAGGTTAATAATAGACAATTCTGGTTTTACACTGGCAAACTAAACTCGACTCCCTTATCATTGGGAGCATGCATTGAAGTTCGTAACTGTGTCAGTCATGAAAAAATAACATTAACAACGTTATTAAGCCAGTATATTGCTAACACTCATTATCATCTCCTTGTTTCCTCAAAATGGCGAGCGCGACACTGACCAAAGCGGAAGCGATCAATGTCACGTGGTCTTGACGCCGAAACTGAAATATGATACCCCGTCGTAGCGTACAGTCTATCAGGCAGGATAGTAAATTCAATGTTACACCCCCACACCCACACCCCGACCACGCCACCCCCTCCCTTAATTCACTGGACTCTTTCCTCAGTGCACAGGCAAGGGTGAAAAGTAGACTTTGACAAAGGCTAGTGGTCGCCCTTACGCCGTAAAGATGACCATGCAGAAACTCGTCAATCTCTTTTTTATAACGCGAAAGCTGAAGTACTCAAAAACTGACCTGTTATTACTCCGACGGTGAAGACAAGGATCGGCAGAGAAGGGGCGAAGGCGCTTCCCACACAACCAATTCCCGCTAAGAGACCGCCGATAGTGGTCACATGACCTGCTCCAACTTTCTGAATGACTATCGTGGCCACCACACCTGAAACATAGATTTGTAAATGTATCATAATTAACCAAATGTCAGACAGATGGGGTGAATTATGTTTTCGGTGATTTTTTAGTTTTGAAAATATCACTTTCCAGCAATGTCATTGGTCTATAAATGAATGACGACGGAACTACTATATTCACATATCCATTCCCAATTAGACGATGCAATCTGACCGTGCAATCTTTTCACAGGGAAGTGCTACCATCAGAGACCATATCATAGTCTATTATATGGTCTCTGCTATCACACATCAACATTGTTATACATATTTGGTACTTTCTTATAGGTGGTCTGGCGAACAAGTGCAAACATTATTCTATCCTGCTGTTTTAAATAAATGCAAATTCAAAAACATGATGTTGATCATGATGTTGAACTTGCATTTATTTAAAACTTATATCAAATTAGATTACTCTATGAATACACCTACTACTATTCAATATAATATCATTATCCATATTTGACTTATTACCAAATTATAATTATGTACTTTTTTAAAACATTTGTTTAAACATGTTCAAATTCAAGACATGTTCAAACGTTTAAGATGTCTCAGTTCTAAAATGTTTAAACGTGTCTTAATTCTAAACATGTTTAAACGGATTAAAATTCTCAACATGTTTAGATAATGGGGATGTTGTGCTAGGCGGTGTTTGGGCTGTGATAGCCCATTTCATATGTTTAGATCCTAAACGTGTTTAGATATAACACACCAAATATGTACGCCGTTAAGGATGAAAACAAATCCCTAAACATGTTTAAACTTGTCTTGTATGTGCTTACTTTCTAAAAACATTTTTTGAGCAACTTCAACGTTGTTGACAAGAAATTGACAAACATGGAATTGTGTGCTCTATGTCTTACTTTTAGATAATGAAATGTGAATGTTTAAATCTGCATAATGTACGTAGTTCCTTTGGAGTGTAACGTCAAACACACATGTTTATGATTTGCCACTTTCATTTGATCTTTTAATTATACGTGAATACTTTACTTGAACAATATGGAATATATTTGCATTGATAATGACGCCTCACGTGCGCGCGTCCTGTCATATTAAAATCTACGAATAACCTAGCTACTTTTATATCAAATCAAGACGTTATTTACATGGTTAAACGGTTTCTTATGATACAACTTCAAATTATGTTGAACAAAATATTTCATGTCACTAACGAAAATTAGTTGAGATTTAATATTAATCACTACAGCCATGTCGTCTTTCCTCGACGTCGTGAAAGACAAATACAAGCCTTAACGTCAAACCAAACACTGTCACATTTTCTTTAAATAATTTCAGGATAAGACTATCATACTGGATGAATGATGGTGCAACATGAGGCAAATCACAGGGGAATTTGGGAATCTAAATTTACATGTTAGTAAGGCCACCCATTTCTCTATTATTTTTTTATGTGGTACGATTTAATAATTTATAATGATTTGTGATGATACCTAAAGGTATATGGCTGAATATCAATATCATCTTCCCGAGGCAAAAGAGTTAACTGACTTTAAAAGTCCAGTTTCCACCCTTGCCGAACTTGGCTTGAATTCCTCGGCTCGATCGTAGCACCACCAGTGGCTATTACCAGTTACATTCCTTTTAAGCCTGTCCTATGGAGCAATCAGATTCCACTTCTCATATAACTTGTGTTTGCTTCACACAAAATGGTGGCGCCCAGAAAGGGCGATCTGATCGATAATCAAGATCTATATTGTGATAAAACGGGTCTTACATCGCGAAATGCATCAAATCACGTGAGCACCTTGATTTAAAACATGAAACGATTTTGAAAATATCTGCTGACAACGAGTTGGCGGTGCACATGCTTTGCAAATCCTGCAATCGACCGAAATCTGCATGACAGTTTACGAAACGGATTTCGATTTCGGTGCGCGATTTTGATTGGACTATGCATAGACTCGTTAGTCCAGCCAAAATGTAACTACATAATACCAGCCTAGTTCGGCAAGGTTGGGGATTGGACTTTTAAAGTCAGTTAACTCTCTTCCCTCGGGAGGTGTATCAATATTTATGTTGGAACAGTTTGTTTCCTCATGAACAAACAAAAACGAAAATGTATAGTGAATTATCACCAATCGATTTGAGTTACTGTAGTTCTAAGCATAGCAGAGTTATGCCTCCCTTCCTTACTGCATGTGTGTCTCTGTCGTTTGACGCCAAAGATTATGCCAAGACATGTTTCGTATCAAATGTTAATATTATTCGTAATCATACAAATCCATTTCGCTCGCTCACAGTTTTTTCAAAATACTGTCACCCAATATATTTAGAGGCATACGATAAAAAGTGGCAACATTTATTGTTTTTTTCAACGTACGACAAAATCGTCGACAACACTTAGCGCTGCCTGTATGTCAAAAGAGTTTTTTATTTGCAATTACTTGCACACCCTCAGATAGAAAGTTAAATATTCTTGCACAACCTTTACTTTTCAAAACCCTTTAAGAACGTGCATCAAAATAATAACTAGGCACCAAGAGGGGTAAAATCCCTCGACAAGGCTCGTGACCGTAAACGTTAATTTCACTCGGGACATATACTATGCAAATCAAGAAACGCAAAAGTAGCAATATCGTAAATAGAGTGTTGCAGACAGTCATACAAAATTAAAACCAAAACTGAATCGAACGTCATTTTCCAACAAGACAACGTCCGACCCCACGGCAAGACTGACAACAGCCCTTTGCAGGAATCACAACGTCCATGGCCCTCCAGATTTAAACCCAATCGAGCATTTGTGGGATGCACTGGATAAACGACTGCCAGCCCGTCAGCAACAACCGCAGAACCTCCGACAGTTGGCACAGGCACTGCAGGCAGGATGGGTGATCATTCCCCAGGCCACAATTCGGGATCTGATTGCTTCCACGGGACGACGATGCAAGTCAGTTTTGGACACTAATGGTGGCCACACAAGATATTGAAAACAGATTACCTTGATCTACTGTTCTTTGTGTGCCATATGGATCCTGGGTCAATGAAGATTATGTGCGCCAATTTTGAACAATCAATTATCATCTGCTGATTATTTATATGATATATAAAAATACATCTGAATTCATTTTTGCGTGTCTTTTTTTTGCAGAGTATACAATCCGCAATTCCTCGTAGTTCGTGAGTTATTTTATTATTACGCATTATATATAATGTTGAACAAAATCTTTCTCATGTCATTAACGAAAATAAGTTAATCACTACAGCCATGTCGTGTTTCTACGACGCGAGTTATTTTATCGTTACACATGATAAAATCTATCTTACTGGCCAGTCCCGTGTTGTGAAAAAACCTATACCGTCGGTCGACCAGCCTGTACGAACATGACGTCATAGTGTTTTATATGACGTCTTCTGCTTGTCACGTCATACTGGACCTTGTTCAATGTTCATGCCAAGCCCTCTGGTCACAGCGCCTCCATCGATTTGGACATGTTATATTTGCTGTGTATCTCGAGTTAATGCGCTTCCTCTAATTTGTTACTAAATTTGCCTTCAGAATTTCGCACCATGAGTAAGATTGAATACCAAGGTGAGACCTCAAAACTCCTTCTGCCACGACTCAAAATTAACTGTTCTCGAATAATCACTATTTATCCCACCGTGCAAACTTTTGTAATGTTCTAACTTAGCGCTATTGGAGTGACTGCATCCGTTGAATAATCTCCCACCTGTTCCAAACACAAGTCCGGTGCACACAGACTGGAAGAGGGATGCCATGGCTCGTGAAGACTGGAAGGTGTCCAGGATCTCCACAAACAGAACCCCCAGACCCACTAGGAATCCAAAAACTAGGAACATCATGAAGACGAGACATCCCGCCACCACACACTTCTTGACATCGACGGTCGTGAGGCTTCTTTTCCTGGATCTGTAATCAACACCAGTATAACTATTTACATAATATCATCAGTGGGTCCAAAGGTTTTAAGAATTGAGTGAGTGAGTCTGGTTTTACGCCGCATTTAGCAATATCCAACAATGTCATGGCGGGGGACACCATAATTGGGCTTCACAAATTGTACCCATGTCGGGAATCGAACCCGGGTTTTCGGCGTGGCGAGCGAACGCTTTAACCACTAGGCCAGTTTAGTAAGTGAAACCATGCGAGTCATGCTTTGGTCATAACGACATTATCCTTCACCATGTGGACCGTCTGCTTGGTCTTGTTGGTAGAACGTTTGCCCGTTGAGCGGAAGGTAGGTGGTTTGATCCCCGTCTGAGTCATACCAAAAAGACGTTAAACGTTGGTACTTGTTGTTACCCTGCCTGGCTTGAAGGGTATAAAACAAGGAGCGGTCGGAGTCAATATTCGGTGTCTGCTAGGGATATCCATGTTAAACTACAGCATGGTATCTTTGTGGGGTACCCATGCTAAACTGCGGCATGGTACGTATCTAAGTCGGCTAGCACCATAAAAATGGCATAAGCCCTGATTAGTACAAGCAGCCATACACACGCGCATGTACGTCGCTATGTAAGTGTAATAATATTGAAAGCCACTTTACACCCCATTTCACCTCACCTCATCTGTCCGCACCTCATCCACCTGCGCATATAATAACGGAACGTCACGATATGGCTGAAATACTGCCGATGTGACTTTAAATTTTAACACACCAATTTTAACATGACCATATATTACTCAAAAGAAGTTAAAGAAAACCCTATTTTGCATATCCCAAAAGTTTCTCTGCCATGGCTGATTGGTATTGCAACACAGCCTTCCAATTACGGTTGTTCTGAGCTTGTTTTGAGAAGCATACTTTGCTCTAGGATTTGACTCTCAATCACTTACCCTTCTTGAGGCCTTGTTGTCATTTCGTCGGGTGGTTTCGGTGTATAATCTGCTCCGGTTACCGAAGTGGTAACATTCAGGTTGCTGGTGTGTCGTGGACCTCTTCCGGAGTCGTCTCTATGTGACATACTCGATAGCAACTACGCCCTCCGCCACTTGTATTATATACCTTCCGTTCACATCGTTGCACAAGAAGTAGTAACGTTGACTCAGTGCTCATTACAGAGAATACATTCATGGCGGTATGCGGGGGACACTCGCGCGTGTGCGACAATACCACCATCCACGTTTAAGTGAAGCAGGTGTGTCACAGCACATCCTAGCACATGCTCCCGTGTGTATGTCAGCATTACACACGAGGCGTTAAGGTTCTAAAGTGAATACAAATTCCAGTCTACTTTACAAAACCGAAACTACAAATGTCGAACTTGAAGCAAGTATTATGTGACATTCTATTACACCCATATATACTCACCGCCAAAAAACCACGAACCATAGAAACATATAGAGAAGTATGTACGTTAAAAAGGGATGTTTCCAATGTGTACCAATTAATGACAAAACTAACAGTCAGTCATGTGTTACCACAGAGTGTCCTTATTCTTATCACTATATGCTGCACGTGATTTCCAAATGTGAGACAAATGGTGCATCTCGAGTCATAGATCTATTACGTCTCATGTGATACATTCATGAGCGTCGGTTCTCGCATCATATCTGTATGTTCGTTTGTGCATCGAACCAATCTTTTGAATATGTGCACTTATACATATATTAACCAACATATATGGTATTCGCGTTTCCGTTGTGGGTGAGTATATACTCTAGCTCAACAATGACACAGCACAGTTCCTGTTGGTCTGTTGGTCTGATAGAGGGCTCGTGTATCCTCAGTAGGTATACACAGACCTCGGACTTACTACATGAGAGAGCACAGTTCCTGTTGGTCTGATAGAGGGCTCGTGTATCCTCAGTAGGTACAGACAGACCTCGGACTTATTACATGAGAGAGCACAGGTCCTGTTGGTCTGATAGAGGGCTCGTGTATCCTCAGTAGGTACAGACAGACCTCGGACTTACTACATGAGAGAGCACAGTTCCTGTTGGTCTGATAGAGGGCTCGTGTATCCTCAGTAGGTACACACAGACCTCGGACTTACTACACGAGAGAGCACAGTTCCTGTTGGTCTGATAGAGGGCTCGTGTATCCTCAGTAGGTATACACAGACCTAGGACTTACTACATGAGAGAGCACAGGTCCTGTTGGTCTGATAGAGAGCTTGTGTATCCTCAGTAGGTGTACACAGACCTCGGACTTACTACATGAGAGAACACAGGTCCTGTTGGTCTGATAGAGGGCTAGTGTATCCTCTGTAGGTACACACAGACCTCGGACTTACTACAAGAGAGAACACAGGTCCTGTTGGTCTGATAGAGGGCTCGTGTATCCTCAGTAGGTACAGACAGACCTCGGACTTACTACATGAGAGAGCACAGGTCCTGTTGATCTGATAGAGGGCTCGTGTATCCTCAGTAGGTGTACCCAGACCTCGGACTTACTACATGAGAGAGCACAGTTCCTGTTGGTCTGATAGAGGGCTCGTGTATCCTCAGTAGGTGTACCCAGACCTCGGACTTACTACATGAGAAAGCACAGGTCCTGTTGGTCTGATAGAGGGCTCGTGTATCCTCAGTAGGTGTACCTAGACCTCGGACTTACTACATGAGAGAGCACGGGTCCTGTTGGTCTGATAGAGGGCTCGTGTATACTCAGTAGGTATACCCAGACCTCGGACTTACTACATGAGAGAGCACAGGTCCTGTTGGTCTGATAGAGGGCTCGTGTATCCTCAGTAGGTATACCCAGACCTCGGACTTACTACATGAGAGAGCACAGGTCCTGTTGGTCTGATAGAGGGCTCGTGTATCCTCAGTAGGTATACACAGACCTCGGACTTACTAATGACACGAATAATAAATAATGACACGAAGTATTGAAACTCCAAGGGAACACTTTCCAAGTCAAGTTTATCTCATCTGAGGGTTTTTCAAAAATTGCAGTCCGTATGTTATTTTCAAATTGAAAATGGGTTATATATTGAGAATGGTCATATCAAAATAACACATACAGAAACATTAAATATGACAGTATCCAAAATTTTGGATATATTTATAAGAGACACTTACACAAATCAATGGCAATAGTTTATCATCAATTTGGATGGACAATGTATACGTGAAACAATGAATGTGATGGAGTTCAAGGTGCCCTATATTCATATAGGTTAACGACGAGTATATATATATGATGGAGCTCAAGGTGCCCTATATTCATATAGGTTAACGACGAGTATATATATATGATGGAGTTCAAGGTGCCCTATATTCATATAGGTTAACGACGAGCATATATATATGATGGAGCTCAAGGTGCCTTAACGACGAGTATATATATATATATATAGTAAGTTATAGTGAGGGTGTATGTTTTTTCGCCGCTTAAGCATTTTTCCAGCATAATCACGGCGGGGGACACGACAAATTGGTTTCCCACATTGTATGAAATTGAAAAAAGCAGCGTCTGAAACAGTGTCTTGAGGGCCAGAATATTTCCAAAACTGTAGGCCCCGTGGAAAAATATCTGTAGGACCAAACATTTTTGCTGAAGCAGGGAGACAATATAAATTACAAAACACAAGCAGTCAACCAGAAGCTTTAACTGCTTTACTATCACATCGAGTTCCCAAAGACTCTGTGGTGCGACATGAAGCTCGCAATTATCAAGGACATTATCAGCTTGTAAAACATCTTTGCTACCACATGTTATGCACCATTTGAAAGGTCTAATCCTCCCACTGTTTATAAATATGAAATTTATGTTTATCACATTACTTGAATAATGCTTAATAAATAATTACATAATAAACTGCAATCCGTAAGGGCTTGCTGGAATTTAAAACTATCGGCCCGAGAATGAATCTGTCGGCCTCGGGCCTACGGGCCGATGTCTATTTCGAACAGCGCTATATCTTCAGCGCTGATATATCTACATGATTAAAATGACCTATATGGTATATAGGTATGGTATATAAACTATACAAGCCATCGATCATGGTTTTGATAATGATTGCTTTGTATTGCCTTCCCAGCGCAAGAGGTTTCTCCTCAAATCACATATTTACAATATCCCAGGTAATGAACAGGTCACAAGCAGAAATCACTCTCTACAAGAAGTCATCTTTCTGTACAAGGTGGTATGTCCGTCCTCCCAGGTGGATGAAGGATGCACACGGAAGTCTTATCACTGTAAGCGAGTATGGTTTTACGCTGTTTTTTGTCAAATATTCCAGCACTATCACTGTATCATATGTGAGTTTCCCCCTTTCCAGTGTTCACACGGAACTAAGCACCATCACAGTTCAGTCGTAGGTCTGTTGGGATCGTCGGCAAAGCGGACAGTCAGATCGACGGTCCTTGACTTTGACCTAGTCACGGCTGCTGATATGAAGAGTGGCACACTGGCGAGGACGAGTGCACCCACTGCTCCACACTCCAGGTAGAAGGCCCACCCCAGGGACGTGGAAACACTCCACTGCTTCACTGCATAGATGAAGGCTCCGACGCCGATCTGGATAGCTAGGAACATAACAGTTGTATGGGATAACCCTTCTCTGAAATGAGGGAATGTAGTGAATGTTTTACACCAGTCAGCAATATTTCAGCTATATCACATTTTCCCGAGGCAAGGGAGTTAACTAACTAAAAAAGTCCAGTTTCGACCATTGGCGAACTCGACTGGAATTATGGAGTTATATTTTGGTTGGACTAACGAGTCTATGCATAGTCCAATCAAAATCGCGCAACGAAATCGACATACGGTTCGTTAACTGCCGTGCAGATTTTGGTCGATTGCAGGATTTGCAAAGCATTTGTACCCGCCCATTCAGCGTCAACAGATATTTTCCAAATCTTTTCATTTGTTTTATCAAGGTGCTCATGTGACTTGATGTACTTCGCGAAGTGAGACACGTTTTATCACAATATAGATTTTGATTATCGATCAGATCAGCTTGACTGGGCGCCGCCATTTTGTTTGAAGCAAATGCAAGTGATATGAGAGGTGGAATCTGATTGTCAACAGGAGGGCCAGAGAAGGGACTCTGGTGGCGCTACGATTGAGCCTAGAAACCTTAGCCTAGTCCGGCAAGAGTGGGAAATTGACTTTTACAGTTAGTTAACTCCCATGCATCGGGAAGATGGCTATATCACAAGGATATGTTAATAGTCGAGTCTGGGCCTGGCAAACCTGTCGACAGCTTGAGCACTGTGAGAACGTAACCGGCTCACCCTCATTCGTCGACTCTTAAGACAAACATTGGGTACATCGGGCCATTTCGCCCCGGAATCAAAGCAGGACAAAGAGTGAAAATCTATTTATTTAACTTCAGCGCTGCTTCCGCTACCCAGATATCTAAGCACATCCATTATGTGCAGGTCACCCCAGAACGACATTTCGCGAACTTTGAACGACCAAAGAAATGTCTAACAGGAAGTCGACATTAGCCAATCCAAAAGCAGCTTCCCTTAGCTTTACGTGACATGTTTGACGACTTCCATTCCGAACTACGCTTTGAAAAATATGTTGACAAAGTTCTCGATTCAAAATTTGAATACTGAACAAAAGAAAATTCTGGAAAGTTTAATACATGGTCGAGACTGTATGTCAGTTTTTCCCACGGAATATGGAAAGTGTGGTCCTTGCAGCATTAATGTGTCGGTATGTGAACTGACAGCTGGTCCAACACGTATGTGTCGTGGCACGTACCAACAGTTGGTACAAGACGCATGTGTCGGTAAACGAACTTACAGCTGACACAAAACATATGTGTCGGTGAACGAACTTACAGCCGACACAACACACATTTGACGGTAAACGTACCAGCCAACAGCTGATGACCAATTCGTCAGTGTCCATCTACACTTCTTAGTATTTCTCAAACTGAGTAAAAAATATGCACCACAAAGTAATATCTGACTTCGCTGAAGGGCCTCGACAATAACTGTTTAACAGAGTAAACGTTGTTACAGGTGGATAGCCCAATTGATGCTGTCCAGGATAACAATCCTGCCTCTCAACGGCCAGCTCCGTTAACGAAGCCTATGACGAAACGTAAGGTAAATGTTGGGTACCTGCTATGAGGACGAAGGTTCCAGGAACGAGGCTGAGCCTGGGACGGGGAGCCCTGGCGTTGATCACGGACGTCACAAAGGCCACAATGGTGAACAGAAGCCCGGAGGCTGTAGTGGCCTGAACGGCGTGGAACCAGCCTAGCAAAACAATCCAAGAAAGAACAGGGGAGGTGAAATGAGGTTTAACGTCGCGTCAAATATTATTGCATTTCTATAGCGACGTGCATGAACGTGTGTGAGTGTATGTGTGCGTGTATGTGTGTCTGTGTGTGTTTGTGTGTGTGCGCGTGTGCCTGCGTGCGTGCGTGTGCGTGCGTGCGTGCGTACGTCCGTGCGTGTGTGTGTGTGGCTACTTGTACCAGTCCGGAAAAAAGAACAGCGTGCATAAGGACACTGTGCTGAACAATCTAACGCAAGCTACTTATTTTCTAACAAACTATGTGTGTAATAATTTTTTATCGCAATACCACTAACCTACTGTCCCAGGTTTATCTTTATTTGTACCACTTCAAAACCTACTTCGTTTACTTCTACCACCACTACCATGATGGTTGGTGGGTTGGGGAACATGGACTCGACGAATCATGGAACAATCTAGACACACGCATGCACATCGGTATAAGTGTTGAACGCGACGTTAAAAGCTTTTTCTCATACTAACCGAATACTTTTTGTCTCTGCTTTTGGCAGTGGTGGACAATTCGACGTCATATCCAATGCCAGCCTTTTTTTCCAATTCAAAAAGTGTATATATGTACGTACAGTAAACTACGGTTATAACGAACCAAAAGGGACCATTAATTTTAGTTCATTATAACCGTAGTTCGTTATAGGCACATGCATATATACTTCCTATATACAGGAAATGGACGGGACCCCAAAAAACAGTTCGTAATATCCTTAAGTTCGGTATAAGCGTCTTTGTTATAAACGTAGTTTACTGTATTTGTTATAGCGAATCGTCAAACAGTTTCTTTTGAAACGATGATCGACTTTATACATTACTCGTTTATCTCTTTGTCGTGTTTTTCTCGGACTTGAACAAATCTGCAATCCAAATCTCTAATCCTCTATAACGACACTGTGGTAAGTTACCCTTTTGATGCCGCAAAGGGGCGTTTTGTATGTTTTCTTGAACCTTCTGTTTTTTTATCGCGTCTTTCTCGTAATCTACAATTTCGTGAAAATAGGAATCTTGCATGTCAACATTTACAGCTGTTGCTTCTTTCTCTCTGCAACTACGGCGCGATGGAGTCTTGTACGTCAACAGTTTATATGTCGTCTGCCCCTGATCTCACAACTCAACAACCCGCATAACGGACACTAGTATATATAACCCATGTTTTCTTTTGAGCATACACTTCCTTTACAGTAATGCGGAGTCATGCGCTTTACAACCAGAAAATTATGATGATGATGATGATGATGATGATGATGATGATGATGTTATTATTATAATGTGTCAATCTAAGCAATAAAATGCGTCAACTTTACGGGAAAGATACTTTCCAGATTAACGAGGGTAAACTCTAATTGAAACTGTGGATGATGAAGACCTTTGAAAACTTACCAGTGAGCTGCACCTCGCCCACCAGGAAGGACACACACGACCTCCGAACACAGACCTGCCACAACCCGAAGTCCACTCCACTGACCACCAGCCAGTATGGGCTGCAGAAGCTGACGATGTGCGCCAGCAGGCCAGCAAGCAGCATCACACTCCCCACCGCAGACAATTTGGCCACCATCGTGTAATGTCCGTCAATGTGTGTGAGAGTTCAATATTCAGATATCGATACCAGCGACTCTAGGGAGTTACATTACTCAGGTATGTGGGACGCTGGGTGTAGGTCCACTCGGGATAATGTTTCTGTTTGTTCTTCATCTTGATGTAAGGAGATACACACAGGTAGGCCGCCATCTGCATGTGCGTGACTGTCTCCGTGACATGCCACGCCTAGTACGTGTGTTAAGTAGGTACATGTTCCCTTATGTCACTGGAATAGCTAAAATAAACGTGACGTGTCTTGTCAATAGACATTTCACTGAGGGCAGTCGTCTAAGGTGCCGCAGAGTTGCGTCCCTTGGGCATGTCAGGAACCTATGATAGTGGGTTCGAATCTTGGTTCGCCCCGATTATGTTTCTAGGTTTGTCAGCAACATACCCGAGCTTGTGGTTTCCACCATAGTGTTAAACGTCGCACACTTCGGGCTTTCCTCCCACATTAAGCTGACACGCCGTGATTTAGATGGAATACTGTTCAAAGCGGAGGTAAGCCCAACTCACTCACTCACTCACTCACTCACTCCAGCAGTATATTTATATTGCGTTGTGTCGCCGATATACGGACTGAGTAGTACATACTGTAGGTCAAATTAGCAGTCGAAGCAAATGTGATTAAAGTTGTTCGGATTGTTAGTCTGCTTACTTCAAATAAATTTGAAGATGTTTCCAATTCAATTTGTTAATGTTTACCTTAATCACAGAGAAGCAGTTTCTTTTTCACACGTTACCTTATTACAAGGATGGGCCCAGCACTGGAGGCACAGGGTCAGTCAGCTAAGTCCCTCTTTGAAAAAGCACGGAGGTTGAAAAATCACGTTGACGTCTTATTTTGAGTCATTTAGGCTACAGTAATAAATCGTAAAAGATTGTAACTGGGGGTAAGTTCAACAATGTTCTCAATAATATTTGACAAGTCATCAATTAGAAATATATTAAGTATATTTAATGTTACATTTTAAAATGGAAATAGTTGAAGCGGGATAATAACTCTGAAACGTCAAAGATTAAACCTTTTTTACGTTTTAATTATTGAACAAGATTATTGACATACTATGCATCTGATTTAATACAGGGTCAAGGCTGTGGAATTATAGCTTTATCGGTATGTTCACTGAATCATTGGACCCGTGAAGATTCCGGGGTAGAATAGGTCTTCAGCAACCCATGCTTGCCGCAAAAGGCGACTGTACTTGTAGTAAGAGGCGACTAACGGGATCGGGTGGTCAGGCTCAATGACTTGGTTGATGCATGTCATCGTATCCCAATTGCGTGGATGATGCTCATGATGTCAATCACTGGATTGTCTGGTCCAGACTCGATTTTTTACAGACCGCCGTCATATAGCTAAAATATTGTTGAGTGCGGCGTTAAACAACAAACCCAAACCAAAAAACAAACACTGAATGATTGCACGCCACAGTCACGCTTCTAACAATAGATACCCACGTGTCTGGATTGACACAACTCATCATTTGCTTGAATCATTACAGTGTTAGTCGCAAAGTGTTTGATTTCGTGTTTGATAAACGAGGGACACAGTGTTGCTTGTATCAATGTCTTTGTAGATGTGAAGGTGGTGACATACACCACCATCCCACTCCTGCTGTTTGTCAGCCAAGTGACGTCACTTGGTGTTGAACAGACAACGCTCATTCTGTTGTTTCGTTACATATGCATACGCTTCACGTACCACGAAAATAAATGTATTGCTAGCTGTAACACCCTATCCGTCAGAATGCCGGCTGTTTTCAATGTATTACGGTCCGAAGCCATTCGTGACCAACTCGTGTTATTCCGGGACAAGCCGAATAGCGAGTTACGGAAAGGGGCGAGTGGTGACGATTGGGTCCGAAGCGGGTCGCCATTGTTTCTGGGATAGCTCTACTACTACTACTATCCTGTCAGGGCGATGCGGTGTTGTCGTAGCAGGATTATACGGGAAGACAGTGTCACGTTTCAAAGACCGGGTCATCCGTCACCTGATAACGAGGCTAGATGTGAACAATCGACCAGGGCCCACTTGCACAAAGCGATCTTAGCGCTACGACTATTGTAAGCCAATGTTAAAGTATGGGAGTTACGATCATCTTAGCGCTAAGATCGCTTTGTGCAAGTGGGCCCAGGTGTGTTCGGATAACTGTACTGCAGCATGCAGTCCTGCTGTATTCATGCAGACAATACAGGTTTCCTTCTCCGTTGGTGCGAGGTTTGCTTGGTACTTTTGTGTTCAACAAGATGCTCCATCCAAGCTGTTTGTTGTTTAACGCCGCACTCAGCAATATTCCACCTATATGACGGCGGTCTTTAAATAATCGAGTCTGGTTAGACGATCCAGTGATTGACGTCATGAGCATCGATCAACGCAATTTGGATACGATTACACGCATCCATGTCAGCTAGCCTGACCACTCGATCCCGTTAGTCGCCTGTTACGACACGGATTGTCACCGTTTACGATAAGCATGGGTTTGCGGTGTGTGTTTGCGGTGTGTGTTTGCGGTGTGTGTTTGCGGTGTGTGTTTGCGATGTGTGTTTGCGGTGTGTGTTTGCGGTGAGTGTTTGCAGTGTGTGTCTGCGGTGTGTGTTTGCGGTGTGTGTTTGCGATGTGTGTTTGCGGTGTGTGTTTGCGGTGAGTGTTTGCAGTGTGTGTCTGCGGTGTGTGTTTGCGGTGTGTGTTTGCGATGTGTGTTTGCGGTGTGTGTTTGCGGTGTATGTTTGCGGTGTGTGTTTGCGATGTGTGTTTGCGGTGTGTGTTTGCGATGTGTGTTTGCGGTGTGTGTTTGCGATGTGTGTTTGCGGTGTGTGTTTGCGATGTGTGTTTGCGGTGTGTGTCTGCGGTGTGTGTTTGCGGTGTGTGTTTGCGATGTGTGTCTGCGGTGTGTGTTTGCGGTGTGTGTTTGCGGTGAGTGTTTGCGGTGTGTGTTTGCGGTGTGTGTTTGCGGTGTGTGTTTGCGATGTGTGTTTGCGGTGTGTGTTTGCGGTGAGTGTTTGCAGTGTGTGTCTGCGGTTTGTGTTTGCGGTGTGTGTTTGCGATGTGTGTTTGCGGTGTGTGTTTGCGGTGAGTGTTTGCAGTGTGTGTCTGCGGTGTGTGTTTGCGGTGTGTGTTTGCGGTGTGTGTTTGCGGGAATGTGTTTGCGATGTATGTATTGGACGAGTATATTACCATGACGTCCACACTGTACGCCGGGCACTTGAAGTACGTGAGTGGTTTACTCCACAGGCAGCAATATTACTAATATTCAATCATTGCGGCATAAAATCTTTAGCACGTAGACCACTGGTTGATAGCATGAGCATCGATCCTCATCTGAGGTACGATGACGCGCATTCGCCAGGTCACACAAAGTGACCCCTATTCCACCACGCGACATTAGTCATTTCTTATGACTAGCACATGACATAGCATCTATGATATCATCTATGAACCTAACTGTCATACCATTCATTTATTACATCTATCACATTTCACAATGTCTGAAATACGTATTCCATTTCAATTTATCATTTTTTATGGATAGATTAAAAAATTATTCACTATTTCCCGCAATGTTATTGAAAATAAAATTCTCGGACACACACTTCGACAACGGGTGCACATCGAACATGTCAAAGAGCAAAATTAGGACGTTTCAAGCAAATCTTTGAACATATTATACAAAGTGATAAATAAAATCAACAAAAATATATCTAAAGGTTGTTATTATTTCAATCTTTTCGTGCGATCGCGTGTAATGTTAGTCAAATGACATCTCGGCTCTCGTTGCCTCGAAATTCTCGGCTCGGACACGATGTTCGATGCCAACATATATGCATGAAAAATCTTTGTCACACCTTGTAAACCAGCACGATACATCCACGAAGCTCCATATTTTTAATATAGATCGCGATTTCCTGCTTAATACATTCAGAATAACACGATTTAACCAAAATATTTCGTCAAAATCTGAAATTCATCACACACGAGGACGGTACAATAGCTGTAATTTGATTTGATGCCTGAGGTCACGTGCTCAAGTTTGACCAATCACGAACCTTGTTGCAGATTTCGGCAAGAAAGCGTCATTAGAAACTAATTTTTATCCAATGAAATCATATGTCTATTATATGGTCTCTGGTTATAGCTAAGAAAAGACTCCAGGCGATGTTACGAGCGTGTAGATGAAAAAACCCCAAGCTTTCTGGCGATGTGGCATACGTCAGTCTTCGACGAACGTGTTATTCATACGAAGCCTCGAAAACGGAGATAATTCTTCATGTTACTGAGTGGGCAGCCGCTGTAATCGGGAAATGGGTGAAAACAGATACTATTTATAATTCTTTTTAAAATAGTTTTCCAATTACGTTTACAATGAAAATAAAAAAGAAATAGAATTCAGGTAAGTGGATCTTATGAAGTCTTATATTTGCCGATCATTTAATCTTATCGTGTCCTTGGTCCTTAACCTGGACGTTATGAATGTGTTTGCTTACATTTTTGTATTTACAACGAACTTATTTAAGTTGCAAATGCATTATTTAAATAATGTGATAACAATAACTTTCATATTTATAAACAATGGCATTAGACCTTTCAAATGGTGTATAACATGACTGTTCTGTTTTTTGCAATATTTGTTTTTAATTGTTTTTGTGTTTTTGCCTTTATACATGAAAATGGCAAATCATTAGTTACTCGACACTGGTCCATTTGTATTTACTCCTACTATCTAGCTATAGTCCTACAATATAGAGGACTGTTACTGTTGTGTTTGCTGGCCATTACATGGAAATGGCAGATGATTCATTAAGTTAAAATACTCATTACAGTATATATTTTATGACTCGTGAACATTCATTCACTTTAATTTAATTTTTCATTTTAATTAACTAAATTTTATTCATTTATCTCTGGTCTTCTCTTGTCACTATGTGTATCGTAGCGTATCGAGATACGTATCGAATCGTGTTGTAAGTATCGAGATACGTATCGCATGGTGACCTAGCTGTATATAGCGACAGAACACAGGGTTTCTTAACTGTAAATTGTAATTGAAAAGAGACGTAGTCCACACAGTACACGTTAAGTGATTCACAAGGACAATAAGCAAATTTAGAACAAAACTGGATCGATCCACTGATGGTTATCGATGTTAGCAAAGGGCCGGCTGCAACACAATGTGGCACAAAATCGACTATATCCTGTTACAGGTAAGCATGCGTAGCACCCCCAACTGCCAATGAAAGTAAGCACGGAGTTATGTCTACACCTCGAAGGTTTTAGACACATTCCGATGGATCCATTTCTTCTTTTGTTTTACAATGTCCAAAGTATAGGTCACAATACATCCAATATATAGTCGAACCCCATTAATTTGAACTTCGTTAATTCGGAAATCCGCCTTCCCGACCATTGCTGGAACGTCTACACATAAACAATGGACATTATCCGATGCCAATGATCTGCTAATCTGAACACTTTCCTTTGAAACAATACAATCCGGATGAACGGTGCACACAGATTGCAACATCGCTGTGAACTAGGGTACCAAGACCGCAATACTTTAAACCTAATTTGATCTATGCTTCGGTTTCAGTCTTGTGGCTGAGATCCTTAGAGAGTTCCATAGTCTCAACATCCCCGGACGGGTCATACACAGCTGAGACTTTGTCCTGGGTGGGCCTGAACCACGTGACCCACCACGCCCTTCCGGTTGACCCTCGACACGCCGAGATGATGACGAAGTACGACACTGTGACGAACATGAGGGAGGCGAGGATCACGGCGACGATGTTGTCGGTGTGGGAGTCGTGGGCCTTCACACTCACACCCGGCCTTAAGCTGCCTGGAAAAGCCGCCAAAAAAGGTAGGTAAATGTGCTTCAACAAAGGGGGATCAATCTGTAATATAATGACAACGCTAAGGTCGCTTTTGGGAATTTGGAACTTGAGATGACTTTCTTGGAGGAACTGTGGCGTATTCTTTTTATTCTGATACTTACCTTTGCCGGGTTTGGGTGAATGAGTTTGGGTTTAACGTAACGTAAAACACAATTTCAGTAAATTCATAGACTTACGAATGGTCTATGAAGTATATTTCATATCGCAATACATTTGTCTTTATTTTCTTCCCTAGGTTTAGATGAAATGTGGAATAGAGCTTGCCAGAATTGCTTTGATTTTGGATTCATAAGATACATATTATATATTCCACAGTCATTGTTCAGGACTGGTTAATTCACGGCGAATCAGGCTAACAAGGGTCAAGAAAAAGTAGTGATGAATGGTGCCAATATATTGAGGAGATAGACATTTATGAATATTGTCGCTGCATGTCTACAGTGAATCTATTGATCAAATTGAAACATAATTATTTTGAGGCGTTGAAAACCTCTTCCATATATGAGGTAGTATATATTTTGCTGCCAAATCGCTGTCCCCGCCTCCAGCATATTGAGGGGCTGTCGGGTAGCATAGTAGTTAAAGCGTTTGCTCGTCACGCCGAAGACCAGGGTTCGATTACCGACATGGGTACAATGTGTGAAACTCATTTCTGGTGTCCCCCGCCGTGATATTGCTGGAATATTGCTAAAAATGGCGTAAAACCATACTCACCCACTCACTCACTCCAGCATATTGAAAAGGTGATGACACTTACACCAGTATTTTATCTTGAATCCGGCGTAGTTGCGGGTGTCGTCAGTGATGAAGTTGATGGTCATGTTCTCGCCAGAGGAGGTGAAGATAGGTCGCGAGTAGCCACAGAACCTCCCAAGTGGCGGACTGTTCGTTGAGGGGCCTGGTAAGGAGGCAAACAGTGTATAGATGGACTCATATCGACTCACAAGACGTGAAGATTGATCAGACTATGGATGCACAGCAATTTTGCAATTTGTTTAACCACAACAATCATAAATTGTAAAACCCATCATCCGCATCTGTACAGCTGAACTTTCATTATGACAAGGTTGATCAAATTAACTGATTGTACCCACACAGCTATACTTATGTATCACAAAAAACAACAATTGCGTACAATCACACGTTGTTGGAGCGGCCAGTCAACCTCCACGCACCCCCTTGCACCTGCACCTGCACATACCGTCATGCGTCTGCACGTGCCGTCAGACACCGACACGTACCGTAATGCACCTGCACGTACCGTCAGTCAACTCCACGTACCGTCAGACCCCTCCAACTCCACGTACCGTCATGTACCTGTACGTACTGTCATGCACCCGTCAGACACCGCCACGTACCGTCATGCACCTGTACGTACCGTCATGCACTTCCACATACCATCATGTACCTGTACGTACCGTCATGCACCTGCACGTACCGTCATGCACCTGCACATACCGTCAGACACCTCCACATACCGTCATGTACCTGTACGTACCGTCATGCACCTGCACGTACTGTCATGCACCTGCACATACCGTCAGACATCTCCACATACCGTCATGTACCTGTACATACCGTCAGGCACCTGCACGTACCGTCATGTAACTGTACGTATCGTCATGCACCTGCACATACCGTAATGCACCTGCACGTACCGTCAGTCAACTCCACGTACCGTCAGACATCTCCACATACCGTCATGCACCTGTACGTACCGTCATGCACCTACACGTACCGTAATGCACCTGCACGTACCGTCAGTCAACTCCACGTACCGTCAGACACCTCCAACTCCACGTACCGTCATGTACCTGTACGTACCGTAATGCACCCGTCAGACACCGCCACGTACCGTCATGTACCTGTACATACCGTCATGCACCTGCACATACCGTCAGACACCTCCACATACCGTCATGCACCTGAACGTACCGCCAGGCACCTGCCCGTACCGTCATGCACCTGTACGTACCGTCATGCACCTGTACGTACCGTCATGTACCTGAACGTACCTTCATGCACCTCCACATACCGTCATGCACCTGTACGTACCGTCATGCGCCTGTACGGACCGTCATGCACCTGCACGTACCGTCAGTTAACTCCACGTACCGTCAGACACCTCCAACTCTACATACCGTCATGCACTTGCACGTACCGTCATGCACCTCCACATACCGTCATGTACCTGTATGTACCGTCATGCACCTGCAGGTACCGTCATGTACCTGCACATACCGTCATGCACCTGCACATACCGTCATGTACCTGTACGTACCGTCATGCACCTCCACATACCGTCATGTACCTGTATGTACCGTCATGCACCTGTACGTACCGTCATGCACCTCCACATACCGTCATGTACCTGTATGTACCGTCATGCACCTGTACGTACCGTCATGCACCTGTACGTACGGCCATACACCTCCGCGTACTGTCATGCACTTGTATATACCGTCATGCACCTGTACGTACTGTCAGGCATCTCCATGTGCTGTCATGCACCTGTACATACCGTCAGTCACCTCCTCGTGTCGTCAGATACCTCCACGTGCTGTCAGTCACATTCACATGCCGTCATGCACCTGTACGTACCGTCATTCATCTGTACGCACCGTAATGCACCTCCACATGCCAGCATGCACCTGTACGTACCGACATACACCTGTACATACCGTCATGCATCTGTGCCTACTATCATGCACCTGAACGTAACGACAGTCACGTCCAAATATCGTCAGAAACCGTCACGTACCGTCATGCACCTCCACATGCCGCCATGCACCTGTACTTACCGTCATGCACCTGCACGTATCGCCATGCACCTGCACATACCGTCAGACGCCTCCACATACCGTCATGCACCTGTACGTACCGTCATGTACCTGAACGTACCTTCATGCACCTCCACATGCCGTCAAGCACCTGTACGTACCGTAATGCACCTGTACGTACCGTCGTGCACCTGTACGTACCGTCGTGCACCTGCCCGTAATGTCATGCACCTGCACGTACCGTCATGCACCTCCACATACCGTCATGTACCTGTACGTACCGTCATGCATCTGCAGGTACCGTCATGTACCTGCACATACCGTCATGCACCTGCACATACCGTCATGTACCTGTACGTACCGTCATGCACCTCCACATACCGTCATGTACCTGTATGTACCGTCATGCACCTGCAGGTACCGTCATGTACCTGCACATACCGTCATGCACCTGCACATACCGTCATGTACCTGTATGTACCGTCATGCACCTGCAGGTACCGTCATGTACCTGTACGTACCGTCATGCACCTCCACATACCGTCATGTACCTGTATGTACCGTCATGCACCTCCACGTACTGTCATGCACTTGTATATGCCGTCATGCACTTGTACGTACTGTCAGTCGTCTCCATGTGCTGTCATGCACCTGTACATACCGTCAGTCACCTCCTCGTGTCGTCAGATACCTCCACGTGCTGTCAGTCACATTCACATGCCGTCATGCACCTGTACGTACCGTCATGCATCTGTACACACCGTCATGCACCTGCACATGCCGTCATGCACCTGTACGTACCGCCATGCACCTGCACGTACCGTCATTCATCTGTACGTACCGTCATGCACCTGTACGTACCGTCATGCACCTGCACGTAATCCCATCTGCACGCCGCATCCTGCTCGATGTGTGTAGCCACAGCCTGAACTACGATGACGTAGATAGAGTCAATCGACCTGAACGTCCACGTCTCCTGGTGGTTGCTGGTATACAAATACATGTATGTTACAAACCACTGCCTACCCAGACACATGCTTGTTTACTGCTGTTTCTATACGCTGGAGATACTTTTTGCTCACGTACAGTAAAATATATTCCAAATCAAGGAAATCTGATTTGGCCTTTTGTGTATCGTACCAGAAAGATTACATTTCATGGATTGCGATTTGGCTTGATTTTTATTGAAACATCCAACATCAGGCGTAATGCGAGCAGTAGAGTGAGATAGAATAGGTTGACCTACTGTGGGTAGTTGACTGGCCAGGAGGGAGAGGTTATGTACCCAGGGGCGGGCCCCGCCACCAGAGACGTGTGTTTGTTGACCCCTGCTGCTGCCACGCCTATACCTAGAGTAGAGCCTATTACTAATGAGAGAGAGAGGGAGAGAGACAGAGAGACAGAGAGACAGAGAGGGGAGGGATAGAAAGAGAGAGTGAGGAGGTAGGGAGAGATAGAGATAAAAAGAAAGAGAGAGAGAAGGAGAGAGGGGGGGGGGGGGAGAGGAAGAGAAATGTCATAACATATATAATATATATATATTCTATACATGGAACATTCATCAATCACGCACATGTTCTGAAATTATTTTTATTAATGTGATATTACAAATCAGAGATCAATTATCAGAAAAATACATGTAGTTAGCTTCAGGATTATAATGATATATAAAATTAAGTTGCTGTACATGCTGCTACCGTATATCACCATACATAACAGTAGTTACCATATATAATTGTATTTAAGGAGAAGTGTGATTTACATCAACTATTGTTTGTTTGTTTGTTGTTTAACGCCGCACTCACCATTGTACCCATTGCAAATAATAGGCTAATAATATCACATGCCTCACATCACACAGGGGCATGCGTAAAGCGCTATTATTACCCCGGTCACTGGATCAGTGTGCATTTAACAATCATTCTCAGCTCCCAGGGAAGTATACAAACCAAGCTGCCTGTTAGGCGCTAGAAGGTTAACAACCACATTGCCATCTCATCCTACCGGGTACCCACTCACTGCTGGGTGAACAGAGGCACATTTCGAACAGAGTCACTTGCCCAAGGAGACCCCACATGTGTTACATGTGCTTCAGTGTGGGAAACTTTCACCAGCCAAGCGGCCGAAACACGGTCATCCGTCCAAGGACTCTCCGCGACCGACGTGTATTAACTTTACCTGGTTTGTGACCTGTGCGTTGTGTATACTATATATATCTTCATAATATACAATCTTCACTGGATGTTATTACACCGCATGAAGAATACTAATTTTCCAACTGAAGATAGTTTCCTAAAGTTATTTACACTTTGGAGAGAGATGGCTGTATCAAAGTTACCACAGACTTCATGACATATCGTTGTGTATGTTGAGGTGTGGCGTCATGGCGTCACCATTTTTCACAAATGAGTCGTTAGGCAGTCTCACCCATTGCTCCATCTCATACCCCCCCCCCCCCCCCCCCCCCCCCTCTCATTCATTCTCTGAACTTACCTAAGAGAGCCAAGGTGTAAGCGAGTAAGGCCCGGAAGCCCATCACTGCCGTGAGTCAGTCAGGTGATCTGTACGCGGGAATTCACTGAAATACATTTAATATAGTTAGCATAGCTTACCCACTTAATAAATCATCAAAGCCTTGTATGGTAGAACAGTAGGTGAACATCCACAGTTTCCTCATCCCGAAACTGTTTGACTTATTACATTAGAAATACATGGTGATTGTCTCTTAGTCAGAGTGTACAGTACCTTGAGTGTTCCCTACCATGATATAACAAGACAGTCGTCACAGGCGCCATGTACTGCAGAGTACGGACAGTGCGTGCCAAGGTTGCACACATCTCACATCTATTCACCTGGATTGCTCAGGGCGATCAAGTCGTAGAAACCCACAAGAGGGATCGATACGCGTTGATAGAGAAGCTATTCTGGAACATTGATTCTTCCGTACAAAAGTCGGGATGGAAACAGCACTGGAATACAAACTTAGATGGAGAGGTATTGTTGACGCCGTCCTGTCCAGACCGGCAAGGCATGGTTTATGGGGCAACCGTTGCCGTTAGGTTTCACGTCGATGTACTCACGTTCTCGGTGGCAATATCGTCAATGCTGGCACTCAGAAAACGTGCTTGGTACTGTGTTTCAATAACAATTAATCACCATGTCACTGATGATGTAACGTAACTGTCATCTTGTGTTGATACCATACATGGCGCGGTGAGCGCTATGCTTGTTTCCCAATCAAGGCAGTACGAGGTCGACCGGGACACCAAGACGGCCCTTTGCATTGATCATTTCCTTTATGTCTAGGTGTGGTTAGCAATTTTGACTTCAAGGCATCGTGTTAATTAGTACCCATACACACAAATAATAGTTTTGAATGGCAGCTGATTAAATACGTCCTTGATGTGGACCGATTTACCAGGAGTTTTAATGACACCAGGACACATGTATCTGAAAAGGGGGCGACTGTAGTCGCCTACAGCGCATCCATATTAAAACAACTCGGCGATATAGGACTATGAGGGCAAATAAAAAACTGCACAATTGGATCACTAGTACATGCATGTGGACTCCAAGTTGGCAGTGTGGAACGAATAGGGACAAGGCTTTATATACTGAGAGTAAAGCAGAGCTGCCAAACCACTGAATGATAGTGTGAGCACTACAATGATATACTACACTATAAAGTGTATACAATGCATACACGGATGCACATCGACACCGTTCGAAATTAGAAATGGGTTTTTCACACCTTCCATCCAAAACCTTTTCAACAGTTTGATCAATTCTAGTTGAACTTCATCAATACATGTATATTAAAAAAAATAGCATGAATGTAAATATTTAAGTTTTATCGATGTTGGCTACCAGTTGCAGGCATTAGAGATGTCTAGCATGGTGTCAGGTGAACATATCTATTTTCTTATTGACGAAATGAACAAACACAGAAATGTTTGATTCAATAACACAACATCCTCCGATTCCCGGGACGTTTACAAACTATAGCTGCCTACTCAGTGATTTTGCATTCATATTGCCATTTCGCTTTAATGTGTGTTGTGGGTGGATAGAGATTGTCCGGATGTTAAGCTGGAGAATTAGTTTTGTTTGTCTCAACTATTCCACAACAGTTAGTAGTTGTTTGAAGTGTGTTTCTGTTAAAGTAGAAACTAAAAGATCGATGACCTTGTGATTTTGAAAAATCTGAGGAAAAATATTTTATTTTTGTTGACGTCTGAGGTTCAGGTAGGATGTGTATTTAGTTATAATGAGTGAGTGAGTGAGTTGGGTTTAACGCCGCTTTAAACATTATTCCAGTTATATCACAGCGTGTCAGCTTAATGTGGGAGGAAAACCCGAAGTGATGCAGGTCTAAGACGATTACCACTTCGGTGAAACCAACGAGCACGGGTATGGTGCTGACAAACCTAGAAACATAATGGGGGCGAACCGGGATTCGAACCCACAATCATAGGTTTCTGGCGTGCCCAAGGGACGCAACTCTGCACAGCGAATCGCGGCGCCTTAGACGACTGGGCCACCCGTGCCCCCCTATTTAGTTATAAAGGCAAGGTCCGTGTCTCCCTGTCATGTGCAACATTGATACACAGTAAGAAGTGTGTAGGATACAGACCGAATAAGGAATAAAGTCCCCTTTCTACTTGTCTCAAATACTTTCTTTGAATTTAGAGAAAGCCATTTCTGGATTGTATCACAAATTATAGTTTATCTCTGAAAGAGGGATTTGCTGGATGTCTCGTTGTACGGATTTGCAAGGAACCTTGGAATAGGCATGTTTCATGTTTCCGAGTCCAACCAAACCTCGATAGTACTGATGCGTGTTGTTTCATCTGAAAATTTTGTCCCGTCAACATTTTTTGACACCGGAATCACATATTAGCCCAAGGTTGGATCTCGTTGCAGTAAGATCCTACATTTATCCCCATCGTTGGCTGAGAGGCACTCCTCACCAATGTAGGTCTGGCAGCTGTGCTCTCCCAGCTGTACACTAACTCCGTTCACCAGCTTCGGGATGCTCTTGTGTCTTGTCCTGTACATAGTTGTGTCAAATATAGGGTTGGTTGGTTGGTTGGTTGTTTAACGCCGCTCTCAGCAATATTCCAGCTATATGACGGCGGTCTGTAAATAATCGAGTCTGGACCAGACAATCCAGTGATTAATATCATGAGCATCGATCCACGCAATTCGGATCGATGACATGCATCAACCAAGTCAGCGAGTTTGACCACCCGATCCCGTTAGTCGCCTTTTACAGCAAGCATGGGTTGCTGAAGACCTATTCTACCCCGGATCTTCACGGGTCCAAATATAGGGTCTGAGGGTGGTGAGGTAGCCTAGTGGTTAAAGTGTTCGCTCGTCACGCCGAAGAACCAGGTTCTATTCCCAACATGAGTACAATGTGTAAAGCTCATTTCTGGGTCCTCGGTCCTGATATTCCTGGAATCCCTCTTAAAGTCAAACTCGTTCACTCAGGGCCTGACCACTCAGAAGAAATACAGTCTGTCCATGTGGCTTGGGTGCACCTTATTCTCATATCCTGCTCGAGTGTAAATAAAAGCTTGTCTTTTGCCTTTCACACATGCATATGGCTGGTGCCCCTGGAGTGAGCGCTGTTGACATCTGGTATAAGCCCATTCATATCACTCGCTAATACAGACAACCCCGTGGGGGCCCGGGGGAGCATGTGTCTCCAGCGCCCTATTGCTTGTCGTAAGAGTTGACAACATTAGCAACCCGTGGTGATTCCGGGTTAGAATGCCTCCCTAACAAACCTATGCTGGTGGTCAATCAATGACCTTGTTGATGGAGTTGTGCTGATAGACAGATGGAAACGGTTTTTGACTTTGCGTGTGTGAGTGTCGCGTAAATAAATAAATACCCACAAACAGATGGAAACTGTATATGACTTCGCGTGTGTGAGTGTTGCGTAAATAGATAAATACACACACTCATACACTCCCACATACATACAGACACATACACAGAGAGAGAGATGGAAACAGTTTGTGACTTCGCGTGTGTGAGTGTCGCGTAAATAAATAAACACACACAGACACATACAAACACACAGACACACACACACACACAGACACACACAGACACACAGACACACAGACACACACACACACACACACACAGAGACACACACACACACACACACACACACACAGATGGAAACTGTACATGACTGCTGCCAATGCTGCGGATTGCATATTGAGTAACGTATTGAGTGACCTTCATGTGTGGAGCGAGGGACACATATAATCCGCCTTAGAGATTAACGCTGATCTTAAATCTGTTAACACCTGTACCTGTTACATGCACAACGTGTGTGTCCGTGTTTGACTGTGGACCAAGACGAATGTGGTGAATAGCATTCAATGACTGTGTTCTACCATGGTTTACCTCACAACGAACAGGTAATACCATATTCCTGAAATTACTTGAAGACACTTGTCAGTTTAAGCCAATACTATGTCACTCTATCACCCGCTCTGTATACCTTGTCATCTGCTACTCCTATTCCATCATACAACTGTATACCTTGTCATCTGCTACTCCTATTCCATCATACAACTGTATACCTTGTCATCTGCTACTCCTTTTCCATCATACAACTGTATACCTTGTCATCTGCTACTCCTATTCCATCATACAACTGTATACCTTGTCATCTGCTACTCCTATTCCATCATACAACTGTATACCTTGTCATCTGCTACTCCTATTCCATCATACAACTGTATACCTTGTCATCTGCTACTCCTATTCCATCATACAACTGTATACCTTGTCATCTGCTACTCCTATTCCATCATACAACTGTATACCTTGTCATCCGCTACTCCTATTCCATCATACAACTGTATACCTTGTCATCCGCTACTCCTATTCCATCATACAACTGTATACCTTGTCATCTGCTACTCCTATTCCATCATACAACTGTAAACCTTGTCATCTGCTACTCCTATTCCATCATACAACTGTATACCTTGTCATCTGCTACTCCTATTCCATCATACAACTGTATACCTTGTCATCTGCTACTCCTATTCCATCATACAACTGTATACCATGTCATCTGCTACTCCTATTCCATCATACAACTGTATACCTTGTCATCTGCTACTCCTATTCCATCATACAACTGTATACCTTGTCATCTGCTACTCCTATTCCATCATACAACTGTATACCTTGTCATCTGCTACTCCTATTCCATCATACAACTGTATACCATGTCATCTGCTACTCCTATTCCACCATACAACTGTATACCATTACTCATGTCTCTGCCATAGCAGTCATACACTGAGCATATTAGCTATGTCGGACTATATACCTGTATAATTACGATGTCAAACGCTGTGGCTATCATCACTCTTCCATTTACATAACATCATTCCGCCGATAAACACCACAATATGACATCGCTACCAATACCGCGTCACTGGGTCTTCCCTGCCTACATGATATTACTTTATCTACATTATCTATATCACATCACGATGTCGTTGCTACCTGCGCCATATCAATATTCCGTCCCTACCTATGTCATATGAATATTCTACCCCTACCTGTGTCATATCCATATTCCATACCAATCTATATTATATCACTAACATAACTACATGTACATCATATCACTATACCAACCCTACTTAGAGCATAGATATCACTCTGCCATTGCTATGTATATGATACCACTATGTCATCGGTACATCTCTATTTATATGACATCACTGTCATCCCTACCTGAATCATACGACTGTGTCATCCCTACCTGTGTTATACCACTGTGTCATCCCTACCTATGTCATACCACTGTGTCATCCCTACCTGTGTTATACCACTGTGTCATCCCTACCTATGTTATACCACTGTGTTATCCCTACCTATGTCATACCACTGTGTCATCCTTACCTATGTCATACCACCGTGGCATCCCTACCTATGTTATACCACTATGTCATCCCTACATATGTTATACCACTGTGTCATCCCTACCTATGTCATAACACTGTGTCATCCCCACCTATGTTATACCACTATGTCATCCCCAACTATGTTATACCACTGTGCCATCCCTACCTATGTTATACCACTGTGTCATCCCTACCTATGTCATAACACTATGTCATCCCCACCTATGTTATACCACTGTGCCATCCCTACCTATGTTATACCACTGTGCCATCCCTACCTATTTCATACCACTATGTCATCCCTACCTATGTCATACCACTGTTACATCCTTACCTATGTCATACCACTGTGTCATCCCTACCTATGTTATACCACTGTGTCATCCCTACCTATGTTATACCACTGTGTTATCCCTACTTATGTCATACCACTGTGTCATCCTTACCTATGTCATACCACTGTGTCATCCCCACCTTTGTTATACCACTGTGTCATCCCTACCTATGTTATACCACTGTGTCATCCCTACCTATGTCATAACACTGTGTCATCCCCACCTATGTTATACCACTATGTCATCCCCACCTATGTTATACCACTGTGCCATCCCTACCTATGTTATACCACTGTGCCATCCCTACCTATTTCATACCACTATGTCATCCCTACCTATGTCATACCACTGTTACATCCTTACCTATGTCATACCACTGTGTCATCCCTACCTATGTTATACCACTGTGTCATCCCTACCTATGTTATACCACTGTGTCATCCCTACCTATGTCATACCACTGTGTTATCCGTACCTATGTCATACCACTGGGTCATCCCTACCTATTTCATACCAATGTGTCATCCCTCCCTATGTTATACCACTGTGCCATCCCTACCTATTTCATACCACTGTGTTATCCCTACCTATGTCATACCACTATGTCATCCCTACCTATGTTATACCACTGTGTCATCCCTACCCATGTCATATCACTGTGTCATCCCTACCTATGTTATACCACTGTGTTATCCCTCCCTATGTCATATCACTGTGTTATCCCTACCTATGTCATACCACTGTGTTATCCGTACCTATATCATACCACTGGGTCATCCCTATCTATTTCATACCAATGTGTCATCCCTACCTATGTTATACCACTATGCCATCCCTACCTATTTCATACCAATGTGTTATCCCTACCTGTGTCACACCACTATGTCATCCCTACCTATGTTATACCACTGTGTCATCCCTACCCATGTCATACCACTGTGTCATCCCTACCTATGTTATACCACTGTGTCATACCTACCTATGTTATACCACTGTGTTATCCCTACCTATGTCATACCACTGGGTCATTACCACCTATGTTATACCACTGTGTTATGCCCTACCTATGTCATATCACTGTGTCATCCCTACATATGTTATACCACTGTGTCATACCTACCTATGTTATACCACTGTGTTATCCCTACCTATGTCATACCACTGGGTCATTACCACCTATGTTATACCACTGTGTTATCCCTACCTATGTCATACCACTATGTCATCCCTACCTATTTTATACCACTGTGTCATCCCTACCTTTGTTATACCACTATGTCATCCCTACCTATGTTATACCAATGTGTCATCCCTCCCTATGTTATACCACTATGTCATCCCTACCTATGTTATACCACTGTGTCATCCCTACCTATGTTATACCACTGTGTCATACCTACCTATGTTATACCACTGTGTCATCCCTACCTATGTTATACCACTGTGTCATCCCTACCTATGTTATACCTCTGTGTTATCCCTACCTATGCCATACCACTGTTTCTTCCTTACCTATGTCATACCACTGTGTCATCCATACCTATGTTATACCACTATGTCATCCATACCTATGTTATACCACTATGTCATCCCTACCCATGTCATATCAATGTGTCATCCCTACCTATGTCATATCACTGTGTCATCCCTACCTATGTTATACCACTATGTCATCCCTACCCATGTCATATCAATGTGTCATCCCCTTCCCATGTCATATCAATGTGTCATCCCTACCCATGTCATATCAATGTGTCATCCCTACCTATGTAATATCACTGTGTCATCCCCACCTATGTCATAACACTGTGTCATCCCTACCTATGTTATACCACTGTGTTATCCCTACCTATGCCATACCACTGTTTCATCCCTACCTATGTCATACCACTGTGTCATCCCTACCTATGTTATACAACTATGTCATCCCCACCTATGTTATACAACTATGTCATCCCTACCCATGTCATATCAATGTGTCATCCTTACCTATGTCATATCACTGTGTCATCCCCACCTATGTCATAACACTGTGTCATCCCTACCTAAGTTATACCACTGTGTCATCCCTACCTATTTCATACCATTGTGTCATCCCTACCTATGTCATCCCTATATATGTCATTCCAACCTATGTCACCATTGTGTCATTCCCACCTATGTTATCCCTACCTGTGTCATTCCCACTTATTTCATACCACTGTGTCATCCCTATCTATGTCATCCCCACCTATATCATACCACTGTGTCATCCCCACCTATTTCATACCACTGTGTCATCCCTACCTATGTCATCCCTACCTATGTCATACCACTGTGTCATCCCTACCTATGTCATCCCTATATATGTCATTCCAACCTATGTCATCCCTACCTGTGTCATACCACTGTGTCATCCCTACCTATGTCATCCCTACCTATGTCATACCACTGTGTCATCCCTACCTATGTCATCCCTATATATGTCATTCCAACCTATGTCATCCCTACCTGTGTCATACCACTGTGTCATCCCTACCTATGTCATCCCTACCTATGTCATACCACTGTGTCAACCTTACCTATGTAATCCCTATCTATGTCATACCACTGTGTCATCCCTACCTATGTCATCCCTATATATGTCATTCCAACCTATGTCATCCCTACCTGTGTCATACCACTGTGTCATCCCTACCTACATGTATGTCATGACGCTGTAAAAACACTACCTATAAAAACGTTGTAAAGCCATACTCACCAATGATGTTTGGGTAGTGACACACTGTTTGATCGACGTTTTGGTGTTCTTTGCCTGCCTGCATGTAGGATGACATTTTGTTTGTCTGTATTTCAGAGTTCTTGGGAGTTTGCTGATGCTGTTATGGACAGGTAGATCTTGCTATTCTGGAGTCCTAATATAAAGAATCAAATCAACTACTACATCTTATACTTCTGAAATACCTCAGTCCCTACAAGACTATCACTACTCACAACGTTCAATTATTCTATTCTCCTATGTCTTTTTACTCTTTGTTAGACTTGGGTTGGTGCTACGAGATGTGCTATTAAATGTGATAAAAAAAGGCCGTGTGAACCCAAGGAGACCATGTGTCTTAGCGAACGAAGTTTTTGATGAGGATGGTTTTACCGTGAGTCTTTGTTAGTGAAATGTGATGTTTCTGATGCAGATGGTGTTGCCGTGAGTCTTTGTTAGTGAAATGTGATGTTTCTGATGCAGATGGTGTTGCCGTGAGTCTTTGTTAGTGAAATATGATGTTTCTGATGCAGATGGTGTTGCCGTGAGTCTTTGTTAGTGAACTATGATGTTTCTGATGCAGATGGTGTTGCCGTGAGTCTTTGTTAGTGAAATATGATGTTTCTGATGCAGATGGTGTTGCCGTTTGTCTTTGTTAGTGAAATATGATGTTTCCTATGCAGATGTTGTTGCCATGAGTCTTTATTAGTGAAATATGATGTTTCCGATGCAGATGTTGTTGCTGTGAGTCTTTGTTAGTGAAATATGATGTTTCTGATACAGATGGTGTTGCCGTGAGTCCTTTTTAGTGAAATATGATGTTTCTGATGCAGATGGTGTTGCCGTTTGTCTTTGTTAGTGAAATATGATGTTTCTGATGCAGATGGTGTTGTCGCGAAAAAAAGGTACAGCGAGGGGAGGACCACAACTGAAATTGTTGTGGGGTGCTGCATCCTGGCAGTGTTCCTGCTGGTCGTGGCTGTCTGCAGCTTGTACTGTAAGTTTTGCACCAAGCGGAAGCGGGAAGAATGGAAGGAGCGCAACAAAGTCATCCCATCAGAGATACTCTGCAAACCGGAAGCGAAGGTGGTGGAAGAAAGAGTTCCTGCAATTGACGTCATTCCGCCACCAGTGGCGAGCGGTGAAAAGACCGACAAAGATCCCAATAAGGGTGCACCTGATCAGAAGGACACACACTGGAGCGATAATATTAGCGACACATCGAACATATCTTTGTCGACTGATCGAAAAGTGTTGAGTCCGATTGAGGTAGCATGAATAAAATTGTACATGTTTTTATGTCATACGTGTCTTCAGGCATTTCGGGAATACCTTGCGTCATCACTGATTTTCAGTTATCCATTCATATACTTGTCATCGCTATTTTGCCATTTATGCAAAAGGGAATCTGTTTCGGACGATAATCGAGACTGTTTTTCTCTGAGGTTGACGTTTGATATTAACTAAACTCACCTAATTCTATTTTTCCCCAAGTGCTGAAATAAAATTAATAGTTAAAATGGCTGTTACTAATTATTTGTGTAGCATCATATCATATTGGGGGCGCAGTGGTTAAAGCTTTCGCTCGTCACGCCGAAGACCCGGGTTCTATTCACCACATGGGTTTAATGTGTGAAGCCCATTTTCCGGTGTCCCCTGCCGTGATAATGCCGAAATATTAGTGAAAGGGGCTTTAAACCATTCACACTCACTCATTCACTCATCTCATATTGCAATTGCTCCTTGTCTCTCCTGCAGGAAGTGCTTGCACCTGTTTCGTCTTTGTTTTGTATGTTGTATAGATATGCTCAATTTGAAACATAAATAAACTATCAACTTGTCTGTTTCCATGTCCAAATCCTTATGACTGCTTGTTTGGTGCAATGTGTGCAACCTGTCAGTGTTGTTCATCCATAAATTCTTATCCTTACTTAGTACTCCGATTTCTAAATGCCTTTTAAAGAAGCTGTTAGTGTCGCCAGACCCCAAACAAAATAGAGGGGTAAACAAAGTACACCGAGTTTGTTTTATATTTAATTGAAAATTGAAAGGACTGTTGATAAATTCGATTATGCCATTAAATCACCAATCATTCCTGCAACTGATTGTAAAGTAATCTGTGGCTCGGGAAATTGGTATGAAAATAATGGTTTAATGAAAACTGGGGTAAGAAATGAATTTGCAACCACATGACCTCTACCATGTTTAAGATGTGAATGTATGCCAAGAGCGGCTAATGTGTTGCTTTTCAAAGATAACTGTCTAGGATATCCATCAGCAGTTGTGTACTATGCGAAAAATGTCTTTTCAAGCTTCTTAAGCGTTCAAAATCAAATTATATTCTAAAAAATACATCCATGTAGAAGTATTCTTCGAGTGTTGACCAAGGGCTAGTACAGTTCATTGTTTGGATAAAATATCGCTGACTTAAAATGTTTCTGAAACTCAATCATATGATACAATCAACTGAGAGGTATAGTTTCTTTTGCCCTACAGTTTAATTGTGCATTTGGTTTGCATGAACTAATTTAAAGTTGTCAGCAACACAATCTCATTAAAATCACATAACCACCGCCATAGGAAGTCACGGCAGGTAAATCCAGAGCGAACTTTGACCGCCGGCTCAAGGTGAAGGGTGCGAGAGTTTTTGAGCCTATCAGATAACATATACTACACATTCTTATTTTGTTACCACGATCCGTTGCCAGTCGCAGTTTCTGCCAGGTAAATCTCTTTAACACCTCAATCCCCGATTCCCATAAGACACAAACGTGGCCTTTGTAGGTGTGTAAATGAATCAATCGACAGGGTTTTGTTTATCCACAACATAGTGGAAATAGTAAAATTCTCAATTTGGAACTGCCCGTTTACGTTCGTTTTCACATATCACATATGCTCCAACGAGTACTCATGACGCTGTCTGAATATATGTGAGCTCTCCTTGAGGAAGACATTAAGATCACTTTTCCGTTAACCTGCATTGAAAACATTTTTATACAACCTGATATTACACGGAACCAAAGTGAAAAATTATGCTCGAAACATTGTTCACCTTTGTTTTAAAAGGCACATACAGAGATTTCACACGGCTTTTCACTTTACACTTATCATCATAATGTAACTTAAGTGAGTTAGATTCAAAAGACAGATCGACAGTTTTGTTCAGCCACATCGTATGGAATCCAAGAAGGGACATTGTCCCGTTTTCGCCATTTCAAAAAACAAGTAAAAAATGTCAAATCAACCAAAGCCCGACACAGGCACATTGTCCTCATGTCGCGTTATCGTACGTTCTAAAACCATTTTTTTTTTTGCATTTTAGATTGGGCGCAGGTCAGTGTACGAGCAAAAATAGAAAAAAATATAGAATTTACAATTCCATATATTTAAAAAATCGCCATAATTGTTTGTGGTTCGATTTCTTCAGAAACGTTTTCAACAGTGTTAATTATTGTATTTTAATACTCTATTTATATTGATAGCGGCAGTAAATAAGTTGGTTTTATTAATATTTTACTAATTTCTGGCGAAATAAAAAACAACTGAGTCAACGGATTCGTAAACCATGGCCTAAAACATCTTATGTACATCTCACGTCTGCATATTCAGCATAATCTGCATACATCTGCATTATAAATTGTACGTATGTGACACATGTCGCATGTGGTATCGTTGCCCTGGGGTAAGACATTGCTCTGCTGTCTTTCCAGACTGACATAGAAATCCTTGTACTTGTTCTCGTTCCTGACCTGGAGCATCTTCCCAAGGCAAGAGAGTTAACTGACTATAAAAGTCGAGTTTCCAGCCTTGCCGAACTAGGCTGGTATTATGGAGTTGGCTGGACTAGCGAGTCTATGCATAGTCCAATCAAAATCGTGCACCGAAATCGAAAACCGGTTCGTAAACTGTCATGTGTTGTTTTACCCCTCCCTCTTGTGTGTTGTTGTCCCCTCCCTCTTGTGTGTTGTTGTCCCCCTCCCTCTTGTGTGTTGTTGTCCCCCTCCCTCTTGTGTGTTGTTGTCCCCTCCCTCTTGTGTGTTGTTGTCCCCTCCCTCTTGTGTGTTGTTGTCCCCCTCCCTCTTGTGTTGTTGTTGTCCCCTCCCTCTTGTGTGTTGTTGTCCCCTCCCTCTTGTGTGTTGTTGTCCCCCTCCCTCTTGTGTGTTGTTGTCCCCTCCCTCTTGTGTGTTGTTGTCCATTCCCCTCCCTCTTATGTGTTGTTGTCCCCTCCCTCTTGTGTGTTGTTGTCCCCTCCCTCTTGTGTGTTGTTGCCCCCTCCCTCTTGTGTGTTGTTGTCCCCTCCCTCTTGTGTGTTGTTGTCCCCTCCCTCTTGTGTGTTGTTGTCCCCTCCCTCTTGTGTGTTGTTGCCCCCCTCCCTCTCTTGTGTTGTTGTCCCCTCCCTCTTGTGTGTTGTTGTCCATTCCCCTCCCTCTTGTGTGTTATTGTCCCCTCCCTCTCTTGTGTTGTTGTCCATTCCCCTCCCTCTTGTGTGTTGTTGTCCCCTCCCTCTTGTGTGTTGTTGTCCCCTCACTCTTGTGTGTTGTTGCCCCCCTCACTCTTGTGTGTTGTTGCCCCCCTCCCTCTTGTGTGTTGTTGTCCCCCTCCCTCTTGTGTGTTGTTGTCCCCTCCCTCTTGTGTGTTGTTGTCCCCTCCCTCTTGTGTGTTGTTGTCCCCTCCCTCTTGTGTGTTGTTGTCCCCTCCCTCTTGTGTGTTGTTGTCCCCTCCCTCTTGTGTGTTGTTGTCCATTCCCCTCCCTCTTGTGTGTTGTTGTCCCCTCCCTCTTGTGTGTTGTTGTCCCCCTCCCTCTTGTGTGTTGTTGTCCCCTCCCTCTTGTGTGTTGTTGTCCCCCTCCCTCTTGTGTGTTGTTGTCCCCCTCCCTCTTGTGTGTTGTTGTCCCCTCCCACTTGTGTGTTGTTGTCCCCTCCCTCTTGTGTGTTGTTGTCCCCCTCCCTCTTGTGTGTTGTTGTCCCCTCCCTCTTGTGTGTTGTTGTCCATTCCCCTCCCTCTTGTGTGTTGTTGTCCCCTCCCTCTTGTGTGTTGTTGTCCCCCTCCCTCTTGTGTGTTGTTGTCCCCTCCCTCTTGTGTGTTGTTGTCCCCTCCCTCTTGTGTGTTGTTGTCCCCTCCCACTTGTGTGTTGTTGTCCCCTCACTCTTGTGTGTTGTTGTCCATTCCCCTCCCTCTTGTGTGTTGTTGTCCCCTCCCTCTTGTGTGTTGTTGTCCCCTCCCTCTTGTGTGTTGTTGTCCCCCTCCCACTTGTGTGTTGTTGTCCCCTCACTCTTGTGTGTTGTTGTCCCCTCCCTCTTGTGTGTTGTTGTCCCCCTCCCACTTGTGTGTTGTTGTCCCCTCCCTCTTGTGTGTTGTTGTCCCCCTCCCACTTGTGTGTTGTTGTCCCCTCACTCTTGTGTGTTGTTGTCCCCTCTCTCTTGTGTGTTGTTGTCCCCCTCCCTCTTGTGTGTTGTTGTCCCCTCACTCTTGTGTGTTGTTGTCCCCTCACTCTTGTGTGTTGTTGTCCCCCTCCCTCTTGTGTGTTGTTGTCCCCTCCCTCGTGTGTGTTGTTGTCCCCTCTCTCTTGTGTGTTGTTGTCCCCTCCCTCTTGTGTGTTGTTGTCCCCTCCCTCTTGTGTGTTGTTGTCCCCTCCCTCTTGTGTGTTGTTGTCCCCTCCCTCTTGTGTGTTGTTGTCCCCTCCCTCTTGTGTGTTGTTGTCACCTCCCTCTTGTGTGTTGTTGTCCCCTCCCTCTTGTGTGTTGTTGTCCCCTCCCTCTTGTGTGTTATTGTCCCCTCCCTCTCTTGTGTTGTTGTCCATTCCCCTCCCTCTTGTGTGTTGTTGTCCCCCTCCCTCTTGTGTGTTGTTGTCCCCTCACTCTTGTGTGTTGTTGTCCCCTCCCTCTTGAGTGTTGTTGTCCCCTCCCTCTTGTGTGTTGTTGTCCCCCTCCCTCTTGTGTGTTGTTGTCCCCTCCCTCTTGTGTGTTGTTGTCCATTCCCCTCCCTCTTGTGTGTTATTGTCCCCTCCCTCTCTTGTGTTGTTGTCCATTCCCCTCCCTCTTGTGTGTTGTTGTCCCCTCCCTCTTGTGTGTTGTTGTCCCCCTCCCTCTTGTGTGTTATTGTCCCCTCCCTCTTGTGTGTTGTTGTCCCCCTCCCTCTTGAGTGTTGTTGTCCCCTCCCTCTTGTGTGTTGTTGTCCCCCTCCCTCTTGTGTGTTGTTGTCCCCTCCCTCTTGTGTGTTGTTGTCCATTCCCCTCCCTCTTGTGTGTTATTGTCCCCTCCCTCTCTTGTGTTGTTGTCCATTCCCCTCCCTCTTGTGTGTTGTTGTCCCCTCCCTCTTGTGTGTTGTTGTCCCCCTCCCTCTTGTGTGTTGTTGTCCCCTCCCTCTTGTGTGTTGTTGTCCATTCCCCTCCCTCTTGTGTGTTGTTGTCCCCTCCCTCTTGTGTGTTGTTGTCCCCTCCCTCTTGTGTGTTGTTGTCCCCCTCCCTCTTGTGTGTTATTGTCCCCTCCCTCTCTTGTGTTGTTGTCCATTCCCCTCCCTC